AGGTTGGGGGGTGGCCAGAGGCAGGACGGGGGCTTAAACGCAGCTTGGGGGATTCCGGTCAGCAAGGCCAGAGGGAGCCTGTGGCCGGCCTGAAGCCTCTGTCCAGCTGCCACTCTGCCGAGACCTTCTCAACTGGCTCCCACCCCACCTCCTCCCAGCTTCCTTCCGTCCTCCCTCCCAAACCAGAAGTGTCTCCAGCCGGCTGTCTGCACACACACCCCTCCCACCCCAGCCCTGTCCTCCTGGCCTGACGGAAACATGCACACACATACACTCACCCATATACTCACACACTTGCACAGTCACACATACACATTTGCACACATACACACTCAAACACACCCACACTGTCACTGCCCTGTGTTTGGCCCTGAGCCCCTAACTGGATGGGAGTTTGGGCCCCCCTCTTGCCCTGAGCTGAGGCCCTTCCCTCAGGGTTCTGGGGTCTCCGTTGCTCAGGAGCTGTGGGCAGCAGGCAGCTGGGAACCTGGGGAAGTCGGCGGGGGGGGGTGCGGGGGGGCGCTCTCGAGGCAGGAAGTTCCCATGCTATGTAGTTAAAATACTCAGCAGTGACTTGGGGCCCAGATCTCTTAGCCACGGACCTCCAGGGACAAATCAACACCCCCAAGAGATAGACGCCCATAGTCCCTAGAAACGTCTCCAGGGGTGGCCTGACTGTGAGCTCTGTCCCTTCATCTCTAGGGCTGGAACCAGGCATCAGCGTTTGCTGAAGACACCTGAGCTTTGACCTCATGTCCTGGGTGGAAAGTCCAGCGTCCTGGACCTCCAGCTCCAACACCCAGCCCCGCCCGGACAGCTGCGCTCCACTCTGTGGGAGACCACCTGCAGCTGGCCGGCCACACCCTGCGGTGCCCACCTGGAGGGAGAGCCCGGATCTGCCTGCCAGCGGGGCCCCAGAGAGGGTCTCTCGGGGTGCAGACTCAGAGCTTAGCTCCAGCATGGTCTGAGGCCGACTTCCCTTCTCAAAGAGGAGGAAGACTGAGCTGGAGAGGAAACCAGAATTTGTTATAAATAGCCAGGGGGAGAGAGGACTGCTGTGGATTTCAAACTCCCTAGCCGGGCTTTAAAAAAACAACTATTTTTGGTTTCGAGTGTTACTGAGGGGTAAGTTGTTCTTCGTATAACCTCCAACATGGGTCCTCACCCACCCTTCTCTGCAGTGGCTCCAATGCGGGACAGGGTCACAGTACCCTCAGGTGGGAAAGACCCCACCATCACCTAGTTCTGCCCCTCCCCTTTCGGATGGAGAACCTGAGGCCCAGAGAGGGAGAGAGACTTGTCCAAAGTCACACAGCAGTCTAAGGGCTGAGCAGGGACTGCTCAGGCAGCTGCCTGCACGCACCCCCCCTTCCCACCCCAGGGTGCCGGAGCCGGGCAGTTCCCCAGCAGCACGGCAGGGCTGAAGGTAAACAATGAGACTGGGCCAGGGGAGAGTTGCAGTCGGATGAAGGCTAAGTCAGTGTGTAAAAATAAAGGACAGCCTGAAGCCAGGGGTGGTGGTGCCAGTCACAGAGACCCAGGTGCAAACTCCAGTGAGTATCCTGCCACGCAACCCGGGGCAGGTTATGGAACTACCCCACCTGCCGGTCCCCTGTCCTCAGTGTGAGTACCACACTGGTGTCATCTCGGGACCGTCAGGAGTGGAAATGAGGTCACGGGGCCAGACACCCAGTGCAGAGTGGCTCTGAGTCCCCTTCACATTTCACGGACCTTCCATCCTCTCCTCTATCAGACAGAAGGGTGACTGTTGCGGTGAGGTCCCTGGTGGGCAGAAAGTCTCAGGGATGAGTGTGGATGAGGCTGGGGACAGGGGACGCCTGGCCTGAGGGGTCATCGATCTCAGGAAGCGGGAGGGGCTGATTCACATGGGAGTGGCCTGGCCTCTGCTGACCACTCAGGGCGGCCCGGGGCCAGGCTGGGCGTCTGCAGAGGCAGGAAGGAGCCCGGGCTGCTGACCCCTGCTGGACATGACGCCCCAGGTCCCAGCCTCAGGGGGGGCCGTCTGCAGGGGCGTCTGCCTCCGTTGCCCGTGTGCTGCCCTGGGCCACGGGAGCCACACAGGTCTTCTCATTGAGCCCTCACAAGGCCCCCCGAGACGCCTGCTGCCGTCGCCCCCAGTCTGCAGGGGAGGAAATGGGCTCAAAGGCCCCTTGGCCGGTGGAGCGGTCGTTAGTGCTGATCACCAGATATTCCCACTCTCTGCCTCTGGCTCAAGGCAGGCCTGCCTGTCCCCACTCCGATGTGGGCGGTGGCCACGTAGCCGGCTCTGACCGATGGAAAGCTGCCCGTCTAGGACACTAGAAGCGCCTTTGGTTCTGATCTCCTGGGTTACCTGGAGCCCCACGGGATAGGCAGAGGTGGGCAGATGGCTCTCCACCTCCCCCTTTGTCCACCCTCGAGTTCCCATCTTTCCTTCTGGTCAGCTGTGCGGGGCTGCCCGTCAGGGACCCCTGAGAAGTAACTAGGAGAATGCCAGGGGGTTCCAGGGTCACTGCCCCTCACCTGCCTAGGAAATGGTCACCGAGTTGCCGTGAGGGCACTGCCGGGTTAGCCCCCAACTCGGAGACCGGCCCTCGTCCAGTCCCTCTCTCCCTGGGGACTCAGTTCCTCCCCCGTGACGTGGGACCGCACGAAGGGCGGTGCTCCGAGACCCTGGACGAAGCTGACTTGGGCTTCTGTGGGGCTGCTGAGGGGCCCTTCCAAACTAATAGCAGCTACCGCTTTGTGGCACTGGGCATGGTGCTCACAGCAGCCTTGGGACAGCGGGAGAGGGACTGCCCGTTACAGCAAAGGTCACCCCTCAAGGGCTGCGGAGCTGGTTTGAACCCAGGCGGGCTGGTGTCCTGTCTCCTCCGGTGCTGGGTCCCCGGGAAGGGTGAGGGGCGGGTCTGGCCAGGCAGGGCTGGGGAGGCGCGGAGGCCATCCTGACACGTGGCCAGCTCTGGAGGTCCGCGAGGGCTTGCCCTTGGGGTTCACGGCAGCTCTGTGATCGTGGCCCCAAACTGGTGGCAAGCCCAGTGTCCACGCCCAGAGGAAGGGCTGACCCGGCCAGTCACTGCACGGAGCACTGTTCTGAGACCACCAGGAGCGAACTTTCCACAGGGGGCACAGCGTGGATGAGCCTCAAGGTAACTACACGGCTGAAGGAAGCCAGACCCCCGAGAGCTCAAGCTGTGTGGTTCCATTGGCAGAAAAGTCTGGAAAACACAAGCCAATCTGGCACCAGAGAGCAGCTCAGCGGCTGCCCGGTGCGGGGGTGGGGAGAGGGCGGGGCACCAACAGGCACCCAGACATCTTGGTGGTGGGATGGCTCGGAGGGGGGTGTTTTCCAGAAATAACCAAACTGTGCTCCCCGAACATGTGCTGCTCACTTCTTGTTAATTATAACTCAACAAAGTGGTTTTAAAGAGGCAACATGCTTCCACTCCTTTGCTCAAGCAGAAGTGTGCGGGGCAGCTGGTGAGGCATCTGGGGTCACTGGGGCAATTAGGGGGAGTCCCGGCCAACTAAGGGCAGCCAAGCCCACTGTGCTGCCCTATGGGGCCTGTGAACTTCTAAGGGTCCCCTATCCTCTAGATGGGGGACAGTGGTGGGGAATTAGAGAGCAGAGAGGAGGAGAGTGGACACAAAAGGAGAGGGGGGCACAGGCCTGGGGACAAGAAAGGTAGAGGCCTCCAAAGCAGTCCCCAGCCCAAGCAACACTCTGGGGGGTCCCTTCCTCTGGACAGGGCAGCACACATGGCTACCCTGCCCTGGAGTGGCCAGTTTCCGGTCCTAAGGATGCACCCCTCCTTGGGTTTTAATTGGACATCTGCCTCAGGCTGGCTCTGCAGGGCCCAAGAACCTGGGCATTTAACCTTTACAACCAGGAGGAGGTGGGGGGCGCTGGAGACCGAAGAGGGAGCTGGTGGGGCCGTGCCATCTCTGATCTGCGTCCTCTCCCGGAGCTGGCTTTCCAGACACTTGTGCCCTGGACGGAGGGCTGCCTTTCCAGGGGCAGGACTGGTGGGCAGGCAGAAAAGCGTGGAGAGGGCTCTTCCTCCCCTTTAACTTCCGGGGTAGGGGGCAGGCGCCAAAGCAGAGACCAGGGCTGGGGGGTCGGTGTTTGCAGCGGACTCCAGCCCAGGTTAGAAAGAGCCAGAGGACAAGACTCAGCCTCTGTCTCCTCTCCCCTCTGCCCCCACCCTGGATGGAGGCCCAGACCTTAGAGGTCAGCCCCCAAGACAGAAGGCCAGATGTGGGGTACCCTGGAGAGAGGAAGGGGTGCTCCAGGAGAGACAGTGAACCCCTGACAGTGGCTGGAACTGGGGTGGCTGCTCCCACCCCACAGACCACTGAGCCCCCTGCCCAGACACTTGCTCTGGGGGCAGCCAAGAGCCCTGGGGCTAAGCTGGGAGGCTGGGGAAGGGGAGTATAGTCACCATAGCAACAGCTAGAGTGCTCAGTGGAGGGAGGGGATCCGAGAAGAAGAGGGAGAGAGCAGCAGAGTGGGAAGGGGCCACCGGGACAGGACGTGTGTCCTCACTGCCCCTTGCCGGCTGTGTGACTAGGCAAACGTGTCATGTCCGTGTGCCTCCCCACCTCCCTAGGCTGTGGGGGGCACAAAATGGGTGTCGTGGGGGCAGGTGCTTTGGAAAGAGGATGGTGGGCACAGGGCCACGCCCGCAGCTGGGGCTTGGGAAGTACTTGGTCAGTTGTGGCTGCTGCGACTTGTGACTCAGTGTCAACCACGGGGACCCTGGAGCCTGTCAATGTCTGAGGCCACAAGGAGGCACAGCGGGGGCTTCGAGGCCTGGGCTGGCAGCAAACTGGCCCCTGAGACACGGCCAGGGCTCAGAGAAGCGGGTCCGTGGTGACAGGTGGGCACATGCAAAATGACAGTCCAGGTGGCCCCTCTGGCCTCCCCAGGACCTGGGCCACGGGGACGGCTCCTAGGGAAGCCTGAACGAACAGGTGACAAGCAGAAGCCAGCTGCCCGCATCACAGGCCTAGAGACTTTAATGTCCCGCTGCGGGGTGGGGGATGTGCCACACACACTGGGTTTCCCTGTACTCCCGCTTCGGGGACTGGCTGGCCCCTACCCTCTGGCTGTCTGCTGTGCCCCCACCCCCACCATTCATTCACTCCACGGAGACAGGGAGGTGCTCTCCACTCTAGCACTGGCTCCCACCCCAGCTCAGGGCCTGCGGGGAAGGAGGGTCTCCTGGGAGCCCAGAGGCTGGCTGAGGCTGCCCAGGGAGCACCGGAGGCTCGGGGACCCCAGGGTGCTGGCTGTGTTCTCGGAGGCCTCTCGTCTCCGCAACAGCTCTGTGGCTGCCACCTCCACTTCCTCTGGTTCCATCTGGCAGGCCTCTGCCAGGGCCTGGCCTGTCACCTGGACGAAGCTGGCGTCATCCGCCAAGGAGTCCAGCCCCCCTCGGAGCAGAGCCTGTGGGAGGAGAGGAGGCTGGCAGGTCTGCTGGGGATCTGCCCCGGGGCCGGCCCTTCCCACCCCCACCTGTGCCCCGGGACGTCCCAGGGCTGGCCCTGCGTGTGGCCTGTGGCCCCACCTCACCTCTTGGATCAGCTGGGCAGTGGCTGGAGCCTGGCACCTGGAGGGACTCTCAGGGGCCCTACTCCTGTGGGGAGCTTCCTCCTGCAGACACCCTGGTGCGGGGCTCCTCCTCGCCTCAGGCACGGGGGACTCTGCCCTGGAGCGCTGTTCCAAAGGCACAAAGGCAAAGACCCCAAGAGGATGCTGGGGCCACTGGAACCCAGTGAAACCCCAGCTCCTCCGAGGGGACCTCGGCCAAAACCCAGGCCCTGGGGTACCTGGCAGGGGGCAGGGGGGGCCCGGACTCCAGGCGCAGCTCCGCGGGTCAGCTGTCCTGTCCACTCCCCCTCACAGGACCTGCTATGCCTTGCTGTGGGCGAGATGGGGGAGGGCAGGGCGGTTGTCAGCAGGCCCCCGCCTGGCCAGTGGGCCACACCCTGAGACCCGAGGGCTAGGAAGGGCCTCCCGGAGGGTGGACATGCACTGGGGGCAAGCACCCCAGGCCAGCAGGATGCGCTGCACCCTCCAACCCCCACTGTATGGGCCGTCTCTGTCCTGTGGGCAGGGGAGGGGGTCAGGCCACAGCCTGAGCAGCTCTGGCCAAGCGGGTGCGTGTGCTCATGAGTGAGTGTGAGTGTGTGCGAGTGGTGGAGCAGGGCGAGCCTCCACATCTCCACGGAGCTCCCTCGGGGTCCCTGCAGTCACACACGGCACTGCAGGGCCTGCTGGGAGACTGCAGCCATCTGCCGCGGGACCCAGAGCCTGGGTGTCAGCGTGTCCACGGTTGTCCTCAGGGGTGTGTCTCCTGGCACACTGGCCAGGGCCCCTTTTATGGTGCACGCATGCCCCCGCCCACCTCACTCAGCCACCTGGATGGTACCCTTGTCCTCTGTCAGCTCTCCCGCCCAGGGCCCGGCTGGCTTCCATTACACCAGCCACCCCACTGGGCTCCCAGCCGGGTGCCCCGTGACCAGGGTGCAGAGGCCTCTGAGAGAAAGCTCAGCGCCCACGCGCAGGAGACACTGACCCGGGGCTGCAGCAGCGGCGGCGGAGGGCTCTGCTTCTCTGGGGGACTCCCTTTCATAGCGGACACTGAAAGGGAGGCAAGGCCGGGGAACCGGTGAACTGGGGTGGGCAGCGGGGCCACCTGCCCTCCTGCCCTCTGCGGCCACCACGTCCTTCTCCCTCGTGTTCGACCTGTCCTTGTCCTCGGGAGCAGCCTCCACCCCACTCCCCGGGGGCGCGGATGAGCCTTTCCAGGCCAGAGACCTCGGTGCCCGGCTGCCCGTCTGGAGCAGAAGCTCCGAGTGAAGCCCAGCGCCTGCGCTGGGACAGTTCTCCCTGCTCCTGCTGTTTTCTGGATGCGGGTGTGGCCACAGGTTTGGGGCAGTGGGAGGGGAGCCACCCAGCACAGCGGGCTCTCCCTGAGCCCCACCCCCAGGACCAGCCCTCAGCCATTCACAGCGTTCTGTGTGCGCTGCTGACGCCCCCTCCTTCTGACGCAATCTGTCCGGCAGGCCTGGGCCCCTTGCCCTTTTACTCCAGGTGCAGCTGCAAAGGCATCCTGCAGCCAACGCCCGCACGCCGCTGCTCCCTGGTGGCCACCGGAGCCTCTGCAGACCGGGCCCTCCCAGCCCCACCCCAGTACCCCTACAGGTAGGGCTGGCAGGCGCCGCCACTACCTGGCAAACACCCGGCTGCTGCCGCGGTGCCTGTTGCCAGTGGTGGCGTTGGCGTTGTTGGCATTGTTGGCATTGTTAATGTTGGCGCGAGCCAGCGGGTTGGCTCTGGAACCCTGGGGGAAGTCCTCCAAGAAGACAGGCGACTCCAGCTCCTCCATCTCTATCTCGGAGAACTGCAGGGGTCTCTGGTTGGCCATGACCGGGGCCAGGGAGTTGGGCCTGTCCAGGAAGTTGTCCGCTTGGCCAAATAGGCCTCCGGTCCTCTAGGGGCAGGGAGGAGAGAGGAGGGGCTGAGAGCAGGGGCAGGGGGGGGGCGGAGGCTGGGGGCAGAACTAGCTTGCTAAGTGGCATGGGACAACTCAGGGCCGCTCCCTGGGCCACTGTCTCATCACCAAAACCGCCGGAAGGTTTAACCAGGTGGTCCTTAAGGGGGGCAGACTGGCTCTGCAGCATCCCAGAAGCGTGAGACAGGGCTGAGGCTGCAGGACCCTGATACCAGAGGGCTCGAGAGAGAGAGAAAATGGGCTCTGGTCGGGACAGGGAGGAAAGTGTGAGGCTTGGTGGGAGGGACAGGATGTGTTGTATCAGACCCCTCAATTGAGGAGGCTGGGTCACTGATTCCGAGTCCCCAGAGATGTGGGTGAGGGGAGGGCCTTCTGCTTCCGTGTCCCCTCCTGTCCAGCTAGGTTCCCAGCCCTCCCTTCTGTGATATGCAGCTGCCCTGCCTCACGCACCCGGAATATCCCTTCCTCCATGGCGGCCTCCACCATGGCTCTCTCCAGCTCCTCCTCGGCAGTCAGGTCCCCAGAGATGGTCCGGCGGATCTCGGGCGCGGCTTCCTCCTCGATGGTCCGCAGTCCAGCCTGGGGTGGAGGGGAGACCCAGGAGCCCTCAGTGCAGGAGTGGGGACAAGCCTGCAGCCATGCACAGCCTCCCTCCCCTCCAGTCCTTGCCACTAGGGCCTCAGCTCGGGGCCCCTCTCCGGCGCCTACACTGTCTGGGCTCTGTGAGGCCTCTGGGATAGCTCAACCCCTCCTGGGCACTGAGGGGTCTCCTCCCGACCTTGTGGAGGGTTTCACAGCCCCCAGGCCTGCAGGGTGACGTCTCTTTGTGTTCAGAACGGTCTTCTAGACAAACGACTTCTTTTGATTGCACATGCCATTAATATATGTGCAAATATATTTGGACTGATCAAAGTTCCTATTACCAACCACAGGACACGTGCAGATTGGTGTCCCTGACAGTTTGCAGTGGGGACCCAGCATCACTTCCGTGACATTCGTGTCCTAGACCTATCACGAGGGGACATCCCCCAGACCCAAAGGGAGGGATATCCGGTCCTGCAAGCTTCACAGTGTCCAGCTCAGGCCAAGGGAAGGCCTAGGAGAGGCTCCAGACGGCCGGGACTAAAGAGCTACGAGCACCGAAGGCAGCGTGGTTCCGGGTCCTGCCCTTCTTTGAGGAAGGGCCCCGTGGGCCCCGTGGGTGCGCTCGCACAGGCTGGCAACGTGCCACGTCTACTTCGCGGCTTTGGTGGTGGCGCTGTGGCGCAGCGGAGGGATACGTAAAAGAACGCTCTCATTTGCAGAAAATCGACCTTCAGGTGCCCTGGGCTGGTAGAACCTCATGCTGGGAGTTAGTCTCAAAAAGTTCAGAATGAGAAAAAAAAAAAAGGTTCTTGTGTTACACGTGCCACTTTCTCAGTGGTGAGGTTGTTTCAAACTAAAAATTGCGATGGGAATAAATTTTTGAATACACAGCCCACGGGCGTGTCTAATTTTGAATTCATCAATCATGTGCATTATAATTAACACCAAAAAAAAACAGAAATAACGGACAGAGGAGCTGAAACACAGTTGTCAGTGGCTTTGCACGCCTGGGGCTCATTTTAACCGCATCCTGGGAGAGCAGCCTGCTCCGCGGACCGTGGCTCTGATTGACCTCTGACCCCTCTTTTGAACGAGCCCCGTGGCCTTAGGTCCTGTCTTCCAGAGACGGAAGGGCTCCCGGTTCTGCCCGCGAGGTCCAGTCGTCTTCCGGCGAGGGCCACCTAGACCCGTCCTTGCCTCTCCTCACCCGTCCTGGTCCCCTCAACCCCCACCCTGTGCCTCGGTCACTCGCCCCCAAGGACGAGGAGAGGGGCGGAGCCCTGAGACGCCGGAGCGGGGCGGGGCTTGCCTGGATCTGCACGGCGTCCTTCTTGGGCCGATACCCGTAGTACTCCTCCTGGCGCTTCATGAACTTGCGAAAGTGCTCCTGGATGAGGAACGTGGCGTAGAACTTGCCCACCGTCACCTCGTCGTCTGCAGAGGGGCCGACAAGCGGTGTCCTGAGGCCCTCGAGAGCCAGGTGGAGCGCCCCCCCCCCCCCCCCCCCCCCCCCCGGGCAGGGACCGGGCTGGAGGCCAGGCCCCCCTCTCGCTGCCCCGGGTCAGGGACCGTTTCCACCCCCAGGTGCTGCATGCCCAGGTGGCCGCCCCGGGGTCTATAGGAGGCATTTGTGGAGGGTCTGGGCCATTCCCAGATGCCCCCAGGGCCCCCCAGAGAAGCCTGTCTCCGACCGGAGCTGCCTCCGGGGTCTGCCCTCCCAGAGCAGTGCACACCTCCTATGGGTGGGATGACCTGGTCCAGCAGCTTCATGCTCGTTCTCTTCCAGATCTTCTTGATGATGGCCCTCAGCTCCTCGTTGGCCTGCTCGAAGTTACCTGGGGACAGGGGGCGGGCATGGGTGTCACCCTGCAGTAGCCCAGGCCAAGCCAGCTGCACCTGACCGAGCCACGCAGGGCTCTGAGAGCCGCTCACCTTCTGTCTTGATCTTGAGGGCTGTGCGCACCAGGGCGAAGAGCGTGGCGTTGAAGGTGACCGTGCCATCGCTGTTCAGGGGCATGTTCATGCCCACCAGCCGCTATGCGGGGAGAAGGGGGGCTCAAGGCCGAGGGGGGACGGAGCCAGGCCTGGCAGGTCGTCCTCGCCTGGCCTGTGGGCCAGGCGGGGTCAGGACATGAGGGCGGGGGCCAGGTGGGCTTGGCAGGACTCCCTCATGAGGGAGGGAAGGGTGAGTTGGGGGACGTTGTCCCACCGCAGGTCCTCAGGGAGAGGCGCAAGGGCCCAGCAGATGACTGCTCTGAAGTGACACCAGCTTCCCCACCCCTGACCCGTGCCTCTCCTGTCCCCACGGCCCCTCCCTGGCAGCTCTGGTTACCTTACACGCTACCCGGTGAGGGCAGAACTTCCCGAAGCCCAGTGGGGGCTGGATCCTCCGCAGCAGAGTCACCACGTCCAAGTGCTTGATTCTGCCCCTGCAGGGGCGTGGCCGTGAACCCGGCAGGCCCCCTGACCCCACCGTCCTCCCTGCTCAGAGAGCGGCCCAGGGAAGAGAGCCAGGAGACGGGGGTGGGGTGGGGAGGTGTGGGGAATGCTTCCCAAGTGCAGTCATGAGTAGCAGGCGGGAGCCAGTCTCTTCTTGAAGAAGAAACAATGTTTGGGTTCACGGCCGCCCCCCAGGAGGAACGGTTCTCTTCTGGGAGCAGGTAGAGGCTGGAGTCCCCCCCAGGCCTGGGACCTGGACCATATTCTCCCATGGGGGGCCTCCCTTCGGTTCCGGTCAAGCTGGCTGGGGGCCCGTGGGCTGTATTACTAGAAGTAGAGGGTAGGGGTCAGGGCAGGTGCGAGCCCACCTACGACCTGTCTTGTTCGTGGCTGTAAGAATTAAATGAGGCAATGCACGCAGCGGTTAGCATGGTGCCTGGTGGCTGGAAGAGGTCCTGGCATAGGAGCCTGTGGCCTGTTTGGAAAGACTGCGAGGCAGCAGTGCCTGCGGACACCCAGGGCGGGTTAGGGGCACTGCGGATTCTGACCCAGTCATTCCAGGGTGCAGGGGTGGGGTGGGGGCTCTGCGTTTTTCTTGAGGGTGGAGCTGTGGGTCAGATGACCACACTCTGAGGAGCCTGGTGGGGCACTGAGTCATCCGCTCCTAGAAGCATCCTTGCAGAAGCTGGGCGACCATTTCCCATTAAAGTCAAGGTGGTCCCTGCCCTGGGGGGGTTGGGGTGCTGTGGGGTCCCTTCCGACCCTGGCAAACTTCAGTTCTCTGAGCTGGGGCCTCGGAGTTGGAGGGAGAGGCAGCGGCTCGTTCCCAGTGACCTGGACGGTGCCTCCCTGGTGGACCCCAAGACGGGCCCGGGATGGAGGCTGACGGAGTCGAGGGAGGGCCCAGCAGGGGTCTGCAGACAGGACTCACGTGGCCTCAGGGTCGTACTCAGCCCAGATGGCCTTGAACTCGTCCAGGTGGTGGGGGCCCAAGATGGACCAGTCCCGTGTCAGGTAGTCGAAGTTGTCCATGATGACGGCCACAAAGAGGTTGATGATCTGTGGGAGGGACAGAGGTCTCGAAACATGGAAGGCAGGGGTCACAGGGATGAGGTGGGGCCCACAGTGTCTCCCTGCCTGGGCCCTTCTGGGTGGCCCACAGTCCCCACAGGAGCAGCTGTGCCCCTGCACTCAGACCCAGACAGCGTCTGCCTGGTGCTGGGTGCTGGCCTGAGCCCCCACACCCAGCACACGGTGTACCCGCCCAGGAGCCCTCACGGGACCCCACCCCGATCCCGCACCGGCCTTTTCTGCATATACGGGGGCGGGGGCTCCCCTGTCATTGCAGGGTGTGTTGACACATGACTGCCGGCCCGGTGCCCCGCCTGCCCAGGACCTGGCCCAGGGGAGGGGCTCATACAGGGCTCTGATTGAATTCAGGAAAGAAACCAGAGCCAAGAGCCGGGGCCTGGGGAGGGCCTGCCTAGTGAGGGCCGAAGCTCTTTTCGTTGCTAACTCAGAAAAGTAGAACCTTTCGCACCCCTCTGGGAACAGGAGGGCAGGCAGAAGACCGAGCCACACCCAGGTGACCAGAACCAGCCGGGACCGCCCAAGCAGCGCCCCTGCTGTCCTGGAAGGCGGCCGGGGCTGCTGCTCCGCTCACCAGGAAGGCGCAGAGCATGTAGAAGCTGATGAAGTAGTAGTACGCGAAGTTGGTGCCGCAGGAGCGCTCCTCGCCCGGCGCGTACTCGGACTCCGGGTCACACAGCTTGCCGTAGCTGCTGGCCAGCAGGACCTCCTGCCACGCCTCCCCCGTCGCACACCTAGAAGGGGGGTGCTCCCGTTGGCCCCACCGCACCTGGGCTGCCTCCCCTGGCCGGGAGGTCCGTTGTGAACTGGGCCTCAGCCTCCCTCCACGCTGCTGTCCCCCTGCTCTGCCAACCGGGGCAGCAGAGCGGGAGTTGTGACAGAAAAGGGGTCTCTCGGACGGAGGGGCCAAATCAATCCATGATTCGTGTCACTGGGAGGGGGCTGACCGGGCGGAGGCAGGGTCACAGGTAGTCTAGGCCTCACTGCCCCAACCCGGGAAGACATTCGACCTCTGCTTCCTGCTCCTGGAGTGAGACTAGGGACAGCCACCCTGCAGTCAGGCCCAGCTACGTCCCACGTGGGGCCCAGTGGGACGAGACGGGGACAGGGGAGCCTGGGGCTCTGAGCCCAGGGCCCAGCGTGGCCATGCAGGCTGCCCCGGCAGCCGGCCCGCTCCGTGCAAAGGCCCAGTGGTCGGTAGGGGGCGGGGCACATGCCTGAAGAGCAGCAGCACAGCCTGCGGGAAGGTCTGGAAGTTGTTGTTCCGGTTGATCGGGGTCCCGTCCACCAGCGCGATCTTCCCGAACATCTGCAGACCACACGGGCTGCCTGGGGGCCCCGACGGGGCCTGCGCACCGTCCTCCCTGCCCGCCCTGCCCCCGTCTTCCCGGTGCTACCCCGAGTCCCCTTCCCTTCTGGACGCACAGCCTGTTCACCGGGGTGCGTGAGGCTCTTCCCATCAGCCCCGGAGAAGCAGGGAGTGGACAAGCCTTCTGAACCGTGAGCCGACTTGGGCTTTGAGAAGGGGCAGGGCTCTCTGGAGAGGTGGGATGGGACCCCCTGGGCCTCTAATAGGCCTTAGAGAAGGAGTCGGGCCCCTGGGATGGCAGGATGGCGTGCCCTGACCCCCACTGCGGCCACCAGGGTTCGCGGGGCTGCTGGGGGAGCCGGGCAGGAGGGCGGGGTCAGCCCCTCCAGGGCCCACGGTGCGCGCTCACCTGCATGCCGATGACGGCGTAGATGAAGAACAGCATCACGATGAGCAGAGCCACATAGGGCAGGGCCTGCGGGAGGGGCCGGCCAGCGTGAGGCTCCCCGGGCCCCTCGCCGTCTGCGACGGGCTCCCTCGGGTCCCCGGGGTCCCCGGGTCCCCCGGACGTCACCCTGGCTGGGAGGGCCGGGCCCACACACCTGAAAAGACTTGATGAACGTCCACAGCAGGGTCCGCACGCCCTCTGCCCGGCTCAGCAGCTTGATCAGCCTCATGACCCGGAACAGGCGGAAGAAGGCGCTGGAGATGCGGGCGCTCTCGTCGGGGTCCTACGGGGCAGCGGCCCCAGAGGTCAGTCTGGGGACGGCACCTCCAAAGGGTCAGGGGCAGGGCAGACAGGGCAGAAGGGGCAGGCAGGTGTCCTGGAGGGGCACGTGGCCCTTGCGGTGCCCTCTGCTGGGCCTTCCTGGGCTCGGGGCTTCGGGGCTCTGGGCTTGTTTGGCTGGGAGGAGGGTGGTGGGTGTACAGCGTCCCCGTGTGGTGAGTCCCCCGCAGGAGGGGCCGCAGGGCCTCGGGTCAGGGTCAGGCTGTGGCCAGGCCCACCGCCTGCCTTATGTCCCCTTCTCTCCAAGCTACTGCTGAGCAGAGCACCCTGCAGCTCTCCCGCCCCCGCCCAGGCCCTCCCAGTGCAGAGCATCCCCAACCTTCACTCACTGAGCTGTCCCATGACAGCGCAACGCCCCAGCCGGGCAGCCCTGCCCTGCGCCAGCCTTAGATACCTGGTGACCTTGGGAGGGGAGAGGCCCCTGCCCAGCTCCCTGTGTCCCCAAAGGCTTTGCGTTTCAGACGTGACTCTGAGCTCCCGTGCCCACCGGCATCGCAGACCCCTCTGGGTGTCCCCGTCCGCACATAGAGAGCCCCTTGCCCCACTGCCGGCCTCTCAGAAAGCCACTCTGTCCATGCACCGCCTACCGCAGAGCCCCAGCCCCACCCTGCCCTGGACCCCAGGCGGTGGGGGGCGCTGCTCTGGGGAAGGGAGTGCTGGGGCCCCATGCACCACGCGGCCGGCCTGGCATGCAAGCTGCAGCCCGCAATTACAACGTTCCCGCAGCCGCCACCGAGGCAGTACAGTCCCCCGCTGGAGGCCAGGAAGGTCTGCGGAAGAGACGAGGAGGGGAGGACACAGTGGGGGGGGTGTCAGAGAGGACGGATGTGAGATCGGTTAAAGAGAGAAAAAAACAGGGAGGCAGGGACGGAGACCCAAGTGGCTGCCTGTGCGGGGCATCAGGACGAAGCGGGGGCAGGGTGGCCGCAGGCTGGGGGTGGGAGCTGGGCGGGGGCGGGGGTGGGGGAGACTGGCCCCCAGGCCCCTTGTCATCTCCAGGTGCATCTGCAGCGGACCAGGCGCGTGTGCTGTGGCTCCTGTGACTCTGGGGACTTCAGAGAGTGCCTGCCCACCAGCGTGAGTGAGTTAACGCCCCCCAACCCATCAGGCACAGAGTTGGGGGTGGGGGCGACCCCAGAGCAGATGCACCTGCCCTGGCCTGGCAGAGGCTGGTGGCCTCCAGCTGGGCCTGGGCTCTTGATGAGCAGGCAGGAGGTGGGGGGGGCAGCTTTGCTCCTGTCTATGCCTGGCTTCTCCTGTGGCCACGTGTCAGGGGCAGCCTGTTCTGGGGTCCTGGGATGGGGGTGTGCTTGCTTTATGTTCCTGCTGTTAACGGGTGGGCTGCTCCCCGCCCCCCGCATCTCTAGGGCAGCTCTGCCCTGGACTACCGGCCTCGACCCTGACCCGGCATCAGAACCACACAGAAAACACATCCCTTCGCTGGGTCCCCAGCCAGGCCTCTGGGGGAGGGGCCTGGCTTCGGGGGCACAGGTTCACCCCGGGTGGTCCTACTAGGCAGCCAGAGTGACAGCCGCCTTCTGTGCTGCCTGTTCAGGGGCCACCAGGCTCAGTAGCTGAATTACAGTGAAAATCAAATACAAGTAGAAATTTTCCTTGTCAGCCGTGTTCTCACGCACATCTGTTCACTGAGGGAGCGCCCACGACCCCCACCCAGGGGTGGCTCCGCCCCCTGACACTCACGTCGATCTCGCTGAGGATGACGTCGATGATGCTGCCAATGACGATCAGGAAGTCGAACACGTTCCAGGGGTCCCCAAAGTAGCCCTGGGAGGGCGGGGCACGGGAATCGGGGTGAGCAGTCTGAGGAGGAGCACTGGGGGCCAGCAGGAGGCGGAGGTCCCGTGGGCCAGCCATGGGCCAACGGAACCGGGCCGGGCCCCGGACGCTCCCCCTCCCCTGGGGCTCCCATGAGCCCCCGACTCCCATGAGACCCCCGCTCCCACGCCTTCTGCCTTTGGCCCCTTCTTTCCTCCAGAGCATAATGTGGTCAGTGGGGAGGGGGTGGTTGGGAGCTCAGGATTTGGGGTACAGACGGGGAGCACTTTCCCCTGTTCCCCTCAAAGCCTCAGATGGGACAGCGCAGTCCTGACAGGGGAGGACAAGGGGCAGTGGACTCGGGAACCCAGGCCACCGCAAGGACCCCGGCCCTGGGCTGAGTCCTTAGAGGCTCGGGAGGGGCAGCCAGCACCCACCGGATCCTCGGCCAGCTCTGCAGCCAGACTCGCCCACCGGCCCAGCTGGGCAGGCAGACGTGGCCCAGGGGTGAGCGGCTTGGGAGCGGGGGAAGGGCTCTCTGTAGAATGGGGCCGTGGAGTGGGAGGCGGACCACCAGAAGGCCCCCCGCCAGGGCTCACCCGCTCCTGGGGCCCTGAGGCCCGGCACTCACCCTGGCCTTGAAGGCCACGAGTTTGAGCAGCATCTCCAGGGTGAAGATGAGGGTGAAGGCCACGTTGAGGATGTCTGAGATGTGGTTCATCTGCTCTGACTGGTTGTAGTGCTGTGGGGGGAGGGGCACAAGGTGGCCTCACGACCCTGCCCTTGGGCGAGGGAGAGGCCCTGCCGCTGTGGGGTGTGAGAGATCAGACTCTGACCTCGGGCTGGATGCCGGCTCCCGAGGCACCTGTTCTGCGCACACTACACCTGGACTTGGGCCCGGAGCCAAAACCAGAGCCAACGAAACCCCCCCAGAAGTGCAGCAGCAGAAGAAAGACAGGGAGAGCGCACCTTCCTCACCCTCCCCTCCTCATCCTCTGCACACCCATCCCCCCCCCTCACGGAACTGACTGCTAACGAACCACTAGGCCCGGGTCCAGTTCCCTTCTCTACCCCAGGCAGCACCTCACCACCCAGCAGGTGCCGGGAGGAGCAGCCTGGCCCCCTGCCCCCACCCCCCGCGCTGGCCGGCCCCGGCCCGCCGGCCCTCACCTGCATGCCCAGGCAGATGGTGTTGAGCATGATGAGGGCGAACATCAGGTACTCGAAGTAGGAGGAGGTGACCACGTACCACACCTGGTACTGGTACGGGTTCTTGGGGATGTAGCACTTGAGCGGGCGGGCCTTCAGGGCGTACTGCACGCACTGGCGCTGGGACGGGACACAACGGGGCGTCAGCAGGATGGGGGGCAGCCGTCCCTCCCGCCCCCCACCACCTGCAAGCCGGGAGCTTGGGCCGAGGGGCCTTCTGGGCCAAGGGGGGAGCACCCCAGAGGCCGGCGGGCTCCCTCTGAGTCACCACGGGCCTTTCCAAAGGTGGCTCCTGTCCAGCCCGGGCCCTGACGGGCGTCCCCACTCTGAGCATCCTGAGGGGACCGTGAGAAGAGCCACCCACCAGCTGGTCGGCGATGGTGGGTGGAGAAGGGGTGGGGTGTGAGTGGGAGGCCCGGGGTCGCCCTGGGCCCGGGCCCTTCCGGGGCACCTGGTTCTTGTTTAGCTCGCAGTTCTTGTACTCCGTCTCCCCCTGCTCCTGGAAGGTGACGATGACGAAGCCCACGAAGATGTTCATCATGAAGAAGGCGATGAGGATGATGTAGATGATGAAGAAGATGGCCATCTCCACCCGGTTGTTGTAGACGGGACCCTTGTCCTCCTCATATGAATCGATGGCCCTGTACAGGAGCCTGGGCAGGGGGACAGGGTGGGCTGGGGACTCGGCCAGGCCAGCAGGCTCCACCCTTCAGGGGGGCTTTGTGAAGGGCAAGTGTCGGGACAGGGGTCTGGGTCATGTGGGGGAGGCCGGAACAGACCCCGGAACACAGGCCTTGCCTTCCTGTGGGGCGCCCCCCCTGCCCTCACCGATTAGAGAGGCCTATGCCGATGGGGACAGGGGACATTTGCCCGGGGGCCCTGCCCAGCTCTGTTCGGAGTGAGCACTCAGCACACCAGTCCTCCAGAGCACCCCAGCCAGTGCCCCAGCACCCCTGGGAGCGGCCAAGGGGCCCCAGCCCGGCCCCCACTCACTGTGGCCAGCCCTCGAAGGTGGAGACGGTGAAGAGGGACATCATGGCGGACAGTACATTGTCGAAGTGGAAGTCGTTGTGCATCCACTCGCGGGGGCGCAGCTCGATCTGCGTGGGGTCCCCGTCCTTGTACACGTAGTAATGGCCCCTGGGCCGTGGTGGGGGCCGTGGTCACTGCACCGTGCGTGGCTGCGCTGTCCCCCCCACCATGTCCTCTGGGCTCTGGGCAGTGAGTGTGCAGGCAGCTGATGTCCAGATGGGACCAGAGGGGACCTGCTGGGCCCTCCCTCCCCCGTCAGTGGCCCCCTCTGTGAGCACCCCTCCTGGGCAAGGGGCTCTGCCCCCAGCTCCTCCACCCGGAGCGGCACCGGCCCCTCACACATGTCCCTGTGTGGTGGCCCTCCACGCGACACACCTGCATTCCTCCTCTGTCATCTTGGACAGGTCGGTGCAGTAGAAGAACTTGCCCTGCGTCCAGAAGGAGAGAAGGGACAGACACATTGTCATGGAAACAGGAGTGCCGTGGGGTTGGGTGGGGGAAGGGCAGCAGGCAGTCTGAAAGGAAGAGCTGGTGTCTTCTTCGCAGAGGGTGGCCAGACCAGGGGCGGGGGCCCCAAACAGTCCCAGCCCTCAGCCGGCCACTGAGGCCCTGACCCAGAGACGCAGCCCTGTCTGGGTTCAAGGGGTGAGGGGGCGAAGGCCATCATGTGACTGAGCGTGGCCAAGGTTCTACCTCACAGTTTGCAAACAGGACATTTGTGGGGAGGGAGAGGACTGGGTCATGGAAGGACGAGCCAGGGCGCTGGTGACCCCAAAGCCAGAGGGCTCCAGAGGTCTGCTCAGTGGGAGGGACACCCCAGCAGGGCTGGTCCCTGGAGAGGAGCTGAGGACAGGGTGGGTCCGCTCCCAGACCAGCAAGTGAAGACAGACCCCCACCCGCAGAAGCTCCTGGGAGACTAAATGACAGAGACGCACCCACGGCACACGGGCCTCGGAAGCCTAGGTGTCTGAGGGGGCGGGGCTGCAGGACTGGGCAGGGGCGTGTGTCGGGCAGGCCTGGCATGGTGGGGGTGGGCAAGAGTGACAGAGGGGCCACTGCAGGGCCCGGCAGGCATAGGGGACACCCCCACCCTGAGGGGAACCACAGAAATCTGGGCGTGGCAGGTGCACGGGGCGCCTTGGGGACAGCCGCCCTCTCGGTGTGGAGCCCCTTTGCTGAGGGGGAAGGGCCACTGCGGCCCGGGCTCACCTTGAAGAGCTGCACCCCGATGCAGGCGAAGATGAACTGCAGGAGCGTGGTGACCAGGACGATGTTGCCGATGGTGCGGATGGCCACGAACACGCACTGCACCACATGCTGCGGCGGGGGGCGGGGCGGAGGGGAGCCATGTGGCTGGGTTGCAGCGCCCCCCCTTGCCATTCCGGCCACGGGAACCCCTGGACCGTCGGGCCCCCTGCCCCCAGCTGGCTGCCGGCCACAGGTCCCTGGGAGCATGGTTGCCCAGTCCCACGGCCACCCCCAAAGACAGGCAGAGGGGGACGGGACGTGCCCAGCTGAACCTGGAGAGTCGGGCCTGCAGCCCCTCTCCCTCCCTGCCCAGGGCCCACCCAGGGCCCCCACCTTCAGCCCTTTGGCTCGGTTGATGGCTCGCAGGGGCCGCAGCACGCGCAGCACCCGCAGGATCTTCACAACGGAGATGGAGCTGGACCTGGGCAGGCGGCCGAGGGCAGGCTTCAGCCCCTGCCCCTCCAGCCCCTCCCCTTGGGCCTCGAGGTGCCTTCCACTCCCCCCACCCCCACCCCTGCACCCGGGGCTGGGCGTGGGCTGCCCCTGGGGAAAGCTGCTCCTGCTCTGGGGCCGAGTTCTTTCTCCTGTCAGCGCACAGAACAGGCTTCCTGGCGGGGAGGGGAGGGCAGGGCAGGGGAGGGGAGGGGTGCAGGCTCCTCCGCCTCATCAGACTGGGAGCCCAAGTGTGGGTCCAGGTTCCCCAAAGGGCTACTGACACTGCCTTCCCCTCTCTGGTCCCCTCCTGGTCTCCAGCTCGTGGCTCTGCCCACTGGGCGTTGTGACTTCAGCCCAGTTGGTGACACCCCCAGGGAACTGGCTCCCCATCGATGGCTCTGAGACAGCCTCCCCAGTGGATGACTCCCATTCTCAGGCCCTGGCGGGGCGTAGCAGGGCCCTCACTCAAGCCGCATGGACACCAGGGACACGGCCACCACCAGCAGGTCCAGGAGGTTGAAGTAGTTGCGGCAGAAGGAGCCTTTGTGCAGGAAGGCGCCGTAGGTCGTCATCTGCCGAGAGACAGGCAGCGCCCTGGCTGGGGCTGGCGGGGGCGGGGCTGCACCGGACCAGGAGGGGCTGCTCGAGGGTGGGTCCCCTGGGTCTGCTCCGAGGAGGTGGAGCGGCCGGGGGTGTGTGTGTGTTCTGTTTTCCACTTCGGTTCTGGGGCAGCCGTGCCGGACCCTGACACAGGGTCTGTCCCCATGGGGCCACGGAGCGGGGAAGCCCTGGCCTCCCCTCTTCCGCAGGACACCGCACAATTCCTCCTCTGCCCCGGAAGCTTCTCCAGAAGTCCCTTCAGCCCCACGAACGGCTGAGTCAGCTGAACAACCCCCAGGGACTTGAAGACCATCGCCAGGGCCCTGACCTCTCTCTTTCCAGCCCCCGGGACCCTGGCCACCCCCTCACTCACCTCTCAGCTTCTTTCATAAACTCTCGGTAACCCGCCAGGCCCTCTGCTCAACCACCTCTGCCCTGCACATCTGATGGGGCCGAGGCCTTCGCTGGCCGCCTCTGAACCAGGCCGAGATGCAGGCATCTCCCCAAGGCAAGGGCCGCTCTCTGGGCCCCTCACAAACACCTTCCCACAACGCCCTGGCCGCCATGCAGTCCCCTGGACCACCCCTGGTCTCCCTTCCTAAAGAAATCCTGTCCAGGTTCAAAACCCGCCCAGGGCAACACTCAGGGCCGCCTGAAGGGAGGCCTCTCAGCCACTGGTGACGCGGGTCCGCTGCCCTGCTGGCAGTGCCCTCAGCACAGGGAAGACCCCCGAGGCTCCGCACCCGCTCGGCCGAGTGGCTGAGAGGCATGCGGGCTGCGGGTCGGCTGCGCTCCCGCTCAACCCTCTCCCCGGCTGTAACCCCTCCGGTCCCCTGGCTTCTGGCTCTTCCCCAGCCTCCCTGCACCTTCTCGCTTCTCCCTCGTCCCTGCCATCCGGCCAGAGGGAGTGACATATGAGGAAGCTGGAGATGTTTCGGGTCTGGTTTCCTGACCCAGAGACGCCCCACGCCCACGCTGAAGCCACCCCGTGGCCTTCACTCACCTTCAGGATGATCTCCACGGTGAACACAGAGGTGAACCCGATGTCAAAGTACCCGAGGATCTGGGGACAGGAAGGGAGAGAGGTCAGCGAGTGAAAGGATGAAGCAACGATGTCATTGTCACCATCAAAACCACCATGACCCCCATCACCATCCTCATCACCACCATCATCGTCATCACCATCATCACCATCACCATCACCATCATCATCACCATCACCATCATCACCATCATCACCACCATCATCACCATCACCATCACCATCACCACCACCATCATCACCACCACCATCACCATCATCACCATCATCATCACCACCACCATCATCACCATCATTATCATCACCACCATCAGCACCATCACCATCACCATCATCACCATCATCATTCAGCCCAGAGGATGAGAGCCTGACTGTGCTCGTGCTGGGACGAGTGTTCAGAAGGAGTGCACCAGGCAGTCTCTACCCTGAAGGGACTTGAACTCTAAGAAGCTGTGGTGCCCATAGCCACATGCAGGACACAGCTGCCACCAGCCGCAGAGGAAGGCGTGTGCTGGCTGAGGGCTGCAGTGGGGGGGGGCCTGGCTGAGGGACGGGGGACGTGGAGCGGCAGAGGGCCAGCCTGCCGCCAGCACCTGGTTCCTCATGGACTCGGCCCGGATGGGGTCCTCGGCAGCCAGCGCGGCGCTGCTGAGCATGATGAAGAGCAGGATGAAGTTGGTGAACCAGGTGGCGTTGACGATGCGGTGACAGAGGACGCGGATCCTGCAGGGACAGGAGGGCCAGGAGAGCCGTGAGTTGCTGGGCGCTCAGGCCTCACCTGCCTCTGTCCTGTGGGTGGACGCAGGCCCTGTCTAAAACCACCCCCAGAAAGAGCCAGTGCACCCAGCCCCCCGGTGCCAGCGATGGGCGAGGCTGAAGCCTTCCTCCCCCCCGGAGCTGCAGTGCCTCAGGCAGGGCACAAGACCCCAAGCTCCAGGAGTGGGTTCTCCTGGTGCAGAGTCGGGAGACGGGGGTCTTGGGAGAGCTGGGGACAGCCCCAACGGCCAGAACCCCGGGAGTCACCCCACACAGCCGGCCGAGGGGACACGCACTTGTTGGTGGGGCTGAAGATGAAGAAGGAGCTGGCTTCTGGGATGGGCACCGCCTTCTCTTTCAGCTGCAGCTCAGCCAGGGGCCGTGGCCGGGGGCTCACTGGGACCTCGGGCTCATCTTCCTCGTCATCCCCTGTCGGGAGGGGGCCTCGCTGCTGCAACGTCTGTCTCAGACGCTCACAGGCTGGGGGGGGGCGGGGGGTGCCATCCGGGCACCTGTGCCAGACGGTCCCTGAGGAGGAGGGTCAGGGCTCTCACCTGGGAAGTCAGCCGAGGGGTAGGGGTCCTTCACCTCGTTAACATTGGACTCGAACTCGTCGACTTTCAGCTGCAGGAGAAACACGAGGAGGAGGAGGAAGATGAAAACGGGGCCTGGGTGTCCACTTACGGGACCTTCATGGGAGGGCCCGTGTGGGCTTTCACTCCCAGAGTCTTCCCTATGGCCCTGGGGACGGGGGCGCTGTAGTCATCCCCTTTTACAGATGACCAGCCAAGCCCGGAAAGTCCAACCAACTGCCCCAGCTCCCTCGGGGTGGAGCCAGGACCCCAGGCTGTCTGGTGGCAGGCACGGCGCACCCCCCACTGACTTCTCCAGGCTCCGCCCCCACCAGGACCCCCAGCCCTCAGGGGTCGTCCTCTGACCCAGGGAACGTCAGCCCCCAGGAAGGCTGAGCAGGGCCAGGCTGGGGCAAGGCGCTCCAGGTAGGACGGTGGGAAGCCAGTCTGGGCCTCTCGGTGGAAAAGGGGTGCCGAGTCACAGGGGGTGGAGCCCTGGGGCTCTGAGGAAGTCTGGGTCGCAGGTGGGGCATCTGCGCTTCTCAGCACAAAGGCTCACCTGTGGGGGCTGTAGCCATGGACTGTCCCCCGCTGGGGTTGGGGGAGGCGCCCTCACCTGGCTGACCACCTGTCTCCCACCTCCCACCCTACCCCACCAGCACCCTCGGGCTCGGGTTGGGATAAACCAGGGGACTTTCCTAGTGGAGCCTGCCCTTGACCTGCCTCTGAAACCACCCTGTGCCTGGCTCACCTTGGCAGTGGTGGGGATCCCCTCCCCCTTGGGCTTCTGGTCCAGCTTCTTGGCCACCACCGACTTTTCCTCCTCTGGCCTGTCTGGGAGACCCCTGCATTGAAAACCAAGAAAACCCAAAGTGGAGACCGAGCTAGAAAGTTCTCAAGGATCTGCCGAGGTCGAGGCTCCTTAGGGGATCCTGCCCCAAAGACCCTGAGAATCAAGCTCCAAAGAGCCACCTGCCTGGAGCTGGGACGCCAGCGCCACTGGACAGTGCCCCGCCCAGGACGCGGCATTCACCTGGACATCTTCCTGCGCTTCCTCTCCTCGGCCTTGGCCTTCTGGGCGGAGGTCAAGCTCTCGGCCTCGGCCAGGTTGTCCACCGCAATGGCCAGGAAGACGTTCAGCAGAATGTCTGAGGGCGTCCAGCTAAGGGGCTGGGGCTGTGAGTGTAAGGGGCCCAGGTCCTCCCTGCCTGGTCTTGGGTGGGGTCGCCAGAGACCCTCTGGCTAGAGCTCCCCCCGTGGGAGGGCTTCGGCACAGGGCCATGGACATCCTTGGCACGCTTCCTGCCCAGGGTGCCCAGAGAGGGCCCAGGCTCCCCTGCGGCCCTGAGCCCCACCCCGTTCCTGCCCAGGACTGAGCCCAGTGCCTCGCAGACACATGGGGGCTCAAGGGACAGGGGTCCCGCCCTGCCCCCGCTCATCATGTCAAGTCCCGCGGTGCAGGTGTCTGGCCCGGCACTTTGGCCCTCTCTGCCCGCCCGCCTCGCCTTCCCATCTGCCCCTTTGTCAGTCACTCTGCCCAAGGTCCGGCTGCCTGGTGCCCCGCTTCCCCGCTGCCTGCCCCCTGCCTTTGCCCCAGGCTGGCTCCTCACGGCTCCTCCCCCAAGCAGTGACCTCCTGTCACCCTCCCCTGCAGCCGGTCAAGGAGCATCCCACAGTGACTCCTGCACTTGCCCGCCCCACCCGCTGCCCTGTCCTGTTTCCCTCCTCCCCCCAGGAGCCTGGGAGCTGCCCTCCGCCCTTTAAGACCCTCCCCCACCCCTCCCCCAGCCCCTCCCTGCACCTGCAGGGATACAGTTGCCACAGACGAAGAGGATGATGAAGTAAATGCACACAAGCATGCCGGGGTAGGTGGGGCCGCCATAGGCCATGATGCCGTTGTACATCACCGAGTTCCAGTCCTCCCCTGTCAGGACCTGGGGGGTGGGGGGACTGAGATCCTGACCTGGCCCCAGGCCTTCCCCCTCCACCCCCGCCCAGACCCCAGGGCCCTGCTTGAACCCCCACACATCCTGCAATGAGTGCAAACCTCATCCCTGGCTTTGCAGGGCCACAGAGTGGGCGTGTCCCTGAGTGGGGCCACTGCTTCCCTGTGCTCCGTCCCTAACTGCACAGTGTGCACCCAGCCTCCTGGCCCCCCCCCCGCCTCCAGAAAGGGCACGAGGTGTTAACTGTCTCAAAGACACTACGCCTGCCCAGCCCGGGGGTGACTGGGAGACAGAGAAGCCTGCACTGGGGCTGGGCCAGCCGACTATCACGCCTGCCCCTCCACTGTCCCCATGGGGGTGCCCCTCACAAGGGCCCGCACAGCAGAGGGGGTGCCCTGGCTCTGCACAGGGCAGCTCCCCCAGCGGCCTCTGGGCCCTGGGAGCTCAGTGGCTCTGGGAGCGGGACTTGGCTGCCCCAGTCCCACTCCCTGGGGCGGTTCCCGTGTGCGCTGGCTGAGGCGTGTCTGCAGGGTGAGAGATGGTGCGTGCTTCTCGGGAGCACCCAGCTGTGGGGAGGGAGGCCACCCCGTCCGGCTTGGCACTCAGAGGCAGCAGCGGCACGTGACAGATGAACAGGCGCCCCGACTCCCAGCCCCCCAACTCCATTTGTTCACAAACTGCCCTCTGACTGGGGGCCAGCGCTCTGCTGGGCACACAGGTTGGGGTGGGCACAGCTCCCCGTTCAGGAGCGTGGAGTAGGCAGATGAGCAACTGTCATCATGGAGAGAGCCACAGGGGACGAGGGAGCCTGCAGAGGGACCTCGGCCTCAAACCCGCAGATCCGAGGAGCCTTCCTGGAGGAGGCGACGCCCGCCCCGATGCGGAGGAACAAGAAGCGGCCTCGGCCCCAGAGGGCAGCGCACCTGGAAGACGCTGATGAGGGCCTGCGGGAAGCTGTCGAAGTTGCTGCGGCGCACCTCTGTGTCCTCGAAGTCATACCTGCCCCCGAAGAGCTGCATGCCCAGCAGGGCGAAGATGACGATGAAGAGGAAGAGCAGGAGCAGCAGCGAGGCGATGGAGCGGATGGAGTTGAGCAGGGACGCCACCAGGTTGCTCAGCGAGGTCCAGTACCTGCAGGGGGTGGTAGAGAGGTGGAGGGGGCGTCCCTTCCCACGGGTGTTCATGGGGCTGGGTGGGCTGGGGGAAGGCGGGGGGCGGGCTGCCCAGAGGGGGAGGCCCCCGGGTCGCGGTGCCCTCCACTCTTCCCTCCCGTCACAGCACCCATCTGGTGTGCCATTTCACACTCGTTCACAGGACAGCTGTGACTTCTGCTTCTACCGCGGGACTCTGAACCCACGAGAGTAAGGACCACTCTGGTCCATGTGCCTCACAAGACACCCAGCTCGGGGGGGGGGCACTTCGTCAGCCTCACAGGTCCACCCACCCTCTCCTGTCCCCTCACCGCCCTCCCGGCGCCTCCTACTCCCCTTCCGTACGCCCAGCCCCTTTCCCTCGCCTCCTCTCCTCTTCCTTCCCCTCTTCCCCCTGCCCGTCTCTCCTTCCTCTGCCCCAGGCTCCTCCTCCCTCCCCTAAGACTGTGGGAAGAGGTTGGAAGAAAGGGGAGGAGTGTGGTCCAAAGAGGGGACGGTGTTTCTCTTGCACAGACAGGGGTGCCTTCGCGGGAACCGGAGGCCCCCGGGCCGTGCGCGATGAGAGGGACGTGGGCCAGCCGAGGAGCGCAGCGCCCGCCCAACTCCCCGCTCACTTGGTGACCTTGAAGATGCGCAGCAGGCGGATGCAGCGCAGCACGGAGATGCCCAGGGGGCTCATGGCGCCCGACTCCACCAGCAGCACCTCCAGGATGCCGCTGCACACCACGAAGCAGTCGAAGCGGTTGAAGACGGACATGAAGTACTGGCGCAGCCCCAGCCCGTACATCTTCATCAGCATCTCGATGGCGAAGAGGGACAGCAGCACCCGGTTGGCCACGTCTGGGGTGGGGGGGCACAGGCCGGCTGAGCCGTCCGCCTCGGACTCCCGCGCCCGTCTCCAAGCCGTCACCTGCCCCCCGGTTATTTGTTCAGAGCTGTCTTCGCCCCGGCTGAGCAGCCTCGTGTGTTTGCTCTCTCTGCTCCCTGAGAGCCCGTGGGCGTGCCCCACCCTCACCGGTGGGCAGCACAGACGTGGTGAGAGATCTCTGGCCCTGGAAGCCTGGGCCCCTAGGCAGCTGTGTGCTTTATGTCCCGTGTCCGTGGCGGGAACGGTTTGCACAGACACCTGAGCACCCCCGTGGGGGTCTCCCGCAGCACTGCTGTTACTGCCCAGAAGGAGGTGCCGCCAGCCCCTAATTTCTAGAAACCGACATCAGTATCCAACTGGCCTCATCCGCCACGCTCTCGGCACCACCGGCTGGCCTCCCCCTGGCCCGCCTCACCTTGCAGGTGGGTCAGCCACGTGGGCTGGTGGTGGTGCTCTGAGGCCACGGACAGCGTGTTCAGGGCCACAATCAGGATCACCAGCCAGTAGAAGGCTCTGGACTTGATCGCCTCATGGCATTTCCAGCGGAGGACACGGTTCCACCGTCTCCAGTGTCGCCTGGGGGAGGACAGAGCAGGAGGAGGCCAGGGGCTGCTGCTGTCCCTGAGTCCCGGCTTCCAGGCAGACCCGGGCCAGCCACGCGGGGTCTGAGCGGCCCTCCCCGCAGCCATGTGAGCGGCCACACTGGTCTGAGACCTCTGTTCTTCCTACCACACTCCCTCCTTCAAAGGCGAGCGACAGTGATGCCCAGGACAGAGGACGCGATGCGTGCGGCCCTGGGCACAGTGCCCGGTGGGGAGCGGGGCTCCGCGTTTCCCGTCTTAGTGAGCCCGGCCCTGGGTGCCGCATCGTGACCGCCACGGGAGTGGTTCTTTAGCAAATTGACGGCATCGGGTGGCGGGTGGCTGCCGACCCAGCACGTGGACGGTCGGGGCTTTTTGGAAACGAGCTGGCAGCGCACAGCCAGGGGTGCCGTCTACGCGCCTGTGACCCAGCAGGGGCTTCGAGGGGATTTGCCAGCAGAAACGTTCACCCTCTGGCAGAACTGTTGCCCGCAGGAGTCTGTTCACGAGCCCAGACTGAAAGCGTCATTCCATGTCTCTAAGTCTACACACCATGAGATGTTCTTGAGTATCACCAAGTACCCGCACCGTGGGCTCCTTTAAAGTGTTACTAAGCACCCTTACTGTGGGACGTTTTTCAGAAGTTATGCCAGAAGAAGGGGTGTGAGCCATGAAGCCACGTGAAGGCTGGGAGGAGCTTCCTGAAGGGAGCCAATCGGAAAACTGCGTGGCGTTCCGCCATCGGCCAGGCAGTGGAGACAGCAGGAACCACGGCGGCTGCCACAGCTGCGGGGCGGGGGGAGGACTGGGGCAGCGAGACCGCCCGTGTGCTGCAGCAGCGGTGGGCACAGGTCCTGCGGACTCTGGTCCAAACCCAGAGGGCGTCCGGCACCAGCAGCGACCCCCCTGGCAGCCGTGGATGCTGGCGGACGGTGACATGTGGTGCGGGTTCATTTGGGTACCAAGTGCACCATCCTGTGGGGGCGCTGAGAGTGGGGGGGCAGTGCCTGTGGGGGGCTGTGAGGGATATGGCAACTCCCTGTACCTTCCGCTCAACTCTGCCTCAGCTTCACCCTAAAACTACTCTAAACACAATGTCTCAATAACAACAAAAAGAGGCATCTGAAGTTGGCCTCCAGAGCTCCTGTTAAGTCACAAACGTAAGTAGGTAAGGAGCACCTGACACGCATCTGATACGCAGTGTCTCCCAGGGGCCGGATCCTGCCCTGGCTCTGAAGTGACAGTGATTCTGTAAATCACCCCGTGGTGGGAGGAGCCCAGACAAAATCTGGTAAACCTGCCCTGTGTGTGCGTGTGCATGTGTGCATGTGAGTGTGAGACAGCGAGAGAGGAAGACGTGGAAAGGCCTCGGGGATGCTGCTGTTACCATGGTTACTCCTGTGCAGGGAGAGGGGCCTTCAACGTCTCTGTGATGTGTTTCTCTGTTCCATCTTTCACCACCTCGGTGATGTCAGAATTAGTAGAAGACAGCAGCCACCCAAACCAACGCGTGCTCTTGGGACGAGGGTGCAACGGGGCCAGCCTCCACCCCACAAAGGCACACCTGCGCCTCCCCGGCAGAGGCTCCAGAAACCCCCGCCCTGCCCACGCCACTCTGGTCCTCGGGTGGCAGCAGTCCATAACAGGGCTACGGGACTGGGGCAGTGGCCCTGAAGCCCTCAGAGGGAGGTGGCGGGGCTCTGATGAGTGTCTGGGGGGCCCCAGGCTGGGGGCCGGGTGGTGGGCAGGCACTCACACAAACTGGATGAGCTTGTTCAGACCCTCGATCTCATACAGGCTCTCCGTGTCCGAGCCACCTTCATCCAGCGACAGCTTCCCTGGGGACAAGAGAGACCCGTGCGGCTGGACACACCCAGAAAGGGCTACAGGCTGGGGGCCCCTGGGATGGCAGGCCCTGGGGGGACCTGGATGCCCCTGCCTTCCTGGGACCAGGCCACCAGGAGCACAGCAGGGGCATTGGATGGGCAGGCGATGGGCAGGCAGGTGAGGCCTCGCAGCGTTGGGCCCACGGGAGGCCAATGTTCGGAGCTGCAAGGCCTTGGACCAGCTGCTCACCTCTCAGGGCCTCGGTGGTCTCACCTGCACAGCCCAGTGCTGTGCCTGCTCCGTGGGCCCCCAGCTTGCGGGGGCTCCAGGGAGGAGGTGCCCCCGGGAGGGGAGCTGGGGCAGAAGAGGGCCCGGGCCCCAACCTTCTAAGTCCTCCACGTCCATGACCTCGCCCTGCGTGATCCAGCTCATGTAGCCCCGGAGGTCCTCCTCCAGCTGCTGCTTCTCCCGGAGCTTCTGGAAGGTTCCCCTGGACTTGGCCTTTTCCCGCTCTTTGGTGAACTCCCTGTGGTGGGACAGGGAGGACCGGAGGGAGGAGGGGCAGCGTGGGAAGGGTGGACCTTCTCAAAGACAGACAGTCTGTGGCTGGCACCCCCCCCACCGTGGCCCAGCTGACGTCCGGGGTGCAGGTGCCCTTATCGGGGGCTGAGGAGCGGCTCTCCCTGCCCCTCCCCATGCCGCCTCCAGGAGCCCTTGGGGACGCTCAGCCCCTCTCCTCATGTCTTCTCTTCCTCCCTCCACTCCTCCTGCCTTGCCCTGGGGGGCAGCAGGGGTCAGGAACCCGGCGGTCCATTGCCAGAACAGAATCAGCCACGGATGCTCCAGTTTCCCAGGGAGCACTCACGGGCCTTGAAAGAACCAGGTGACAGGAAAGGACTCGAGGGTTGGGGAGGGACCCTCAGGCCACCGTGCAGGGCAGAAGGGAGCGTCCAGCACAGCTGGGAACTCGTGGGCACCCTGGTGCTGAGCCCGGGCACAGCCAGGGCCAGGAGGCTGTGCACACGGAGGGACAGAAGGAGGCTCACAGGGAAGGGAGAATAAAGGACAATGGAAGGGTCCCTGCCTGCAGCACCTGCCTCTTCCTCGCTAGCCAGGGAGCAGGCCCTTAGCCGCAGGGGACGCAGGAACGTGCGGACTTCTAAGTCACGGCTCCCTGTCCTGTTCTTCCTCCTCCTCTCTCTCCTCCCAGCTGCCTCTGGGCTTCCTTACCCGCTCAGGACACCCAGCACCAGGTTGAGGATGAAGAAGGAGCCCAGCAGAATGAGGGTGACGAAGTAGATCCAGGGCCACTCGTTCCCGATGGCATCGTTGACCTGGAAGGACAGAGGGGTTAGCCTGACTGAGTTGCCCACTCCACCAACCCTGGGGGCAAGGAGACAGGGCGTCTGGACCTTGGGGGGGCTTTTTCTCTCCTGAAAACCTAGGACCTCCCGGGGGGGGTTCCTGCTGACCCTCTACTTGGCCCAGGTGATGCTGACCCATTTCTCCCTCCAACAGGCCCCTCCCTGGCCTGACTCGCTCACAGAGCCCACCCCTACTTGGTTTCTTTACAGTCAAAAGATTTCAACATAGAAGAAACAGTGGAGTCTCAACCTGAGCCGGGCCAGCGGCCTCATGACCAGCATCCATGACTTGGGACAGGCCGCCTCCAAGGGGCTGGGGTATGTCTGGGTCCCTGCAGCAGAGCTGAGGCCACACAAGGGACCACCTTTCAAGTGGCGAGTGATTTGCTTCCATGGTAGGAGCTCACAAAAACTGTTCATGTGAGTCCTCCATACCAGCAGAGCATTTGACATGTTACAATGTTTCCCCCACTGTTATAATGTTTCCCCCACTGTCACAGTGTTTTCCCCACTGTTACAATGTTTCCCCCACTGTCACAGTGTTTCCCCACAGTGTTTCCCCCACCAGCAGCTCATGCCGCTGCAGCTGAGTCAGTATAGCAGCCAGACGAACTAGAGGTCTTGGATCTGTTGCTCACAAGCTCCCTAACCATGGGCAAGTTACTGAACCTCTCTGAGCCTCAGTTTCCCCATCTGTGAAATGGGAACAGTGCCTCCCATTACAAGGTGATTAAATAGGAAATGCAGCCTAGCTCTCAGTAACACCAAATAAACAGCAGACACCCCACGAAGGTTTCCACGGCATCAGCTTCAGGCCGCTCTGTTGTGATGAAGTGAATCCTCCCACTCCCTGCCAGTGCCGCCCAAGGACGTGGGCAGCACTCTCCTGTCACGGGCGAGGAAACTCGTGTCCAGTGTTGATCATACGGGAAAGCAGTCCTGCCCAGTGGCCAGAAGAGACTCAAGAGGCCGTCATCCCCCAAGAGACCTGAGGCTCCAGGCCCTAAGCAGTGACACCAGCCAGGCTTAGGGATGAGTTAGGAGGGGAGACCAGAGCCAGACCCGTGCTCCTGGCTTCCTCCTCTGCTCCTCCCAGTGCTGCACAGGTAGGCTCCACCCTGGGGGTGTCTCAGGGGTGCGGGGACACACACCTGGGGACCAGAGGGGGCTCCCAGGGAAGAGCGAGAAGAGGCAGGGCCGCCCCCGCCCCCGTCAGCCCCGAGGAAGAGAGATGCTCGGGCAGGTGCGGCCAACCCACCCAGTACAGGACCTCGGTCCAGCCCTCCATGGTGATGCACTGGTACACCGTGAGCATGGAGAAGCCGAAGTTGTCGAAGTGCGTGATGCCGTGGTTGGGCCCCGGCCAGCCGCCTCGGCACTCGCTGCCGTTGATGGTGCAGGGGCGGCCCGAGCCGGTCCTGGCGCAGGGGGACGGCTTCTCGTTCTCCACCGTGGCCACGATGTCTGCAGGCGGGAGGGTTGGACAGCAGGCAGTGGGTGGTGACGGGAGAAACGTTGCTGGTAGCTTTCCCAAGGCCAGCAGCTGTGGCCAGCGGTGACCCAGCGTGCGGCGGCTCCACGGCAGGGTGGGCCCCCCCCCACCCCGGAGTTGTCGGGGCCTCTGCCACAGTTCAGCCCCGGGACTCACCGGTCCCGATGAAGTAGCATGTCTTGTGCATCTTGCCCTTGAAGAGCTCCAGGCCGATGATGGCGTAGATGATGACCATGAAGAGGACCAGCAAGGCGATGTGGAACAGCGGCAGCATGGCCTTGAAGATGGAGTTGAGGACCACCTGCAGACCTGCAGCGGGGCGGGTGGGAGAGGAGCGAGGGAGGGTCAGCGCCCCAGGGTCCCCTCCCACTCTCCCCGCCCTGGGCAGCAGCCTCTGGGACACCAGGGCAGGAGGAGGACCCAGAACTGGGCCAGGGAGCAGGCGGGGGCGGGGTGGGGGGCGTGAGGACACTGCCACCCACTGGGCACCCCGGACACCAGCCGCAGGGGCCTGAGCACGCGGAAGGCTCTCAGGGCCTTGACGTCCAGGCCGGCGCCCTTGCTGCTCAGCGGGGCAGTGTTGCTCTGAATGACGTTGACCTGCTCCAGAATCACCGTGAAGACCCTGGTGGGGGGAGGGGAAGGGAGAGGGCCCAGCCGTCAGAGGAGCACTGTCCCCGGGACCCCGTGTTCCCTCTGCGCTCAGGGGACCCACAGGAATCCGACGGGAAGGGTAGCAGACACAGTTCCCCCCATGGCCAGTTCTGCTTCAGGGACACCTGCCCAAGGGTCTTACTACAAAATGTTCTGAGGCCAAGGTCAGTCTTCCAGAAAAGAGCATCGGAACCATCTGTAATGTCGCCTCAGGGCACGGGTTGGGGAGGAGAGGCATGTGTGTGTCACCTACGACTAGAGTCCCCAGCCCAGGGGCTCGGCCACCCCACCGAGGGCCGCCGGGAGGCAGCAGCCCCTCATCCGTGGGGCCCGGGGCAGGGGGGAAGAAGTCCGGAGCCATGCTCCCCCTCCTGGTCCCACCGCCTCCTCTTCTCTAAGGGACTCAAACTTCCTCAGTCTTTTGGAAGTCCATCCCCAGCCCTTCCTCCCAAACCTTGCTTTTGACGGCCGAACCGGGGACCCACTGGGTGTGAAACAGTGCTGCTCGGGGTGGGGCAGCTCCTGACACCGTCCTTCTGGAAGTCTGTGTCTTGGGCTCCAGAGGGAGCCTGGCTCACCGCGTCCCTCAGCTCCCCGGGTGCCCAGGGCAGTGCCGGACGTGGTTAACAGTCAACAGAGTGTGCGCTGCCCTGAAGGGCCGCGTGGTGGGGAGGCGGCCACCTCTGGGGCCGAGGCCACCCGGGTCTGGGGGTCAGAGCACGGCCCCCCGGGGAGCAGTGTGACCTTGGGCAAGTCTCTGGACTCCCCAGGGGCCTCAGCTTTCTTAAAGGGAGAAAGTAGCCTGGTGATCGGGAGAATCGAATGCGATGTTAGAGCAAGGCGCGTAGCAACTGCCCGATAGAGGCTGCCAGCACAAGGACGTGGTCGTGCTGACGGGTTGTCTTAGGGGCTGACCTGGGTGCCCCGAAGTTACAGGTTGGAGCCCGGACCCTCAGCTCAGACTGGCTGTATTTGGAGACAGGGTGTGGCATAAATGACTAGACGGTTGGCTGGGGGTGGGGGATGACGGGCAGCAGATGGAACCACAGGCATCCCCTCTGGGGCGGGCGGGGTGTGACCGGCCAGGCAGGGTATCCTGTCGGGGACCCCACTGAGGCGGCTCCTCCCACCCCATGCACAGAGTAGGGTTCTGTCCTGCCCTGGGGTGCTGGCGGCGGCGGTGGCAGGCACAGGGTCCCCGAGGGCCTCTTGCACCTCCCTGCACTCTTGGCCTCACCCCAGGAAGACGATGATGAAGTCAAGGGCGTTCCAGCCGCTGCGCAGGTAGGCGTCCTGGTGGAAGAGGAAGCCGTAGGCGATGATCTTCATGGCGGCTTCGACCGAAAAGACAACGAGGAAGAAGTACTCCAGTTTCTCCTGCGGGGGTGGAGCCGTTACTCCTCGGGCCGCTCCCCAGCACCTCAGCCCACCCTTGCCCCTCAGCCCCAACCCCCCACACCCTGAAGACCCTGCCCATGGGCTCCTCACTCCCCGGCTGACGTGGAGAACCTGGCACCTCTGCAGCTGGCTGGGTCCAGGCCCACCATCCACGCCCATGCTGGGCACGGTCCCCAGGCCGACATCCACACTCTGTGGACTCGTAGCTCCTTATGCCAGGACAGGGCCACATGCCACGCCTGTTAGCTGCGAGTCCCAGCTCCCCCACCAGCTCAACCACCCCCCAGCTCGGAGCGCCCAGGTCAAACCCATGGCCGGAGCAAGCAGAGGGTGCCCAGGTCCTGCCCTGAGTCATGAGAACCCTGTCCCATGGGTTGCACGACCCGAGGCCCCTCTGGCCTGGGCTCTGTGTCTCACTGGGTTTGTCCCAGACGTTTAGCAAGGGCACCCCAGGGGGGCCTGGCTGCCTCTCCAAGGTCCACATCATCAGCGTTCCCCAAACATCCTCCCAGGGTCGCCATTGGCGGGTGGGGGGCCGCTGCCGTACACCTGTCACTGCTCACTGGCTCTGCCTGAAACGGCCCGAAGCCTTCGGGAGACGGCGCTCGCTCCTTTGCAGAACAGAGGTGGCAGAAACCGCCTGCATCCTTCCAGGACGCATCCACCATCGCTGGCACCCTCAAAGGCGCCGTAACCCCCAGGCCTGTGGGGGCCGCTCTCCTGCCAGCACCCTGTCTGTCGGTTCTCACGGGGCTGTGGACGGGGCCATGTCTGGGGCCATGTCCTACCTAGAGCTCATGTTCTTGCCCTCATGTCTTCCCACCCCTGGGACCCACTCGTCTGCGTGCGTCCCTGTCTCTATCAGTGGCACCCAGCGTCCCTCTGGACCCAGAGCCCTCCAGCTATGCTTCCCCCTCGCCAGTGAGGGGAGTGGGGCTCGGAGAGAGTGGGCGCCCAGGCAGCCCACCCCAGCCCACCTGCAAGACAGAGTTGGCTGCGCTCCGGGTGAGCCAGCCTGAGTGACTCCTGGCGAACCGCCGGACCCACGGGTCTCGGGGCCCTGGCCCCTGGCCCCTGGCCCCATGCAGCCTCCAGGTTTGGAAGATGACCCGCTGGGGGTGAGGGAAGTGGCTATATTTAGCCTGATGAACCCTCGCCCCACCGACTAGTCTAAGCCGGTCTGGGCAGGCTGGTCCTGCCTCCCACCCCAGGTCTGGGCTCCGTGGGACGTTAGTGGGGGGCCAGGAGGGCCAGGAGTGCAGAAAGGGATCCCCTGAGCCCCACCCGGGCTCCAGGCAGGACCCGAGGCCGGCACTCATCGACACCCCCGTGCTGCCCAGGAGATTCTGGGGTCCTTGTGTGCAGATGGGGAGGCCGGGACTCGGGGAGCGTGGAAAGCTGCCAGCAAAGGGCCAGCTCCAGGCAGTCTTGTCCAGTTTGAAACCCTGTGCCTCCCCAGTGACGGCCCAGTGACAGCCCGGCTGGGCCGAGTGCTCGGGGTTATCCGTGGGGCTCCTGCTCACCCCCAGCAAGCGAGGGCTCTGGGGGAGGGGTGGCGGGTGCCTGTGGGGGCTCAGGCAGCATCAAGGTGGGGCCTCGGGTCATTTTTCCAGGCCCCTGCTGGGTGACCAGGCTCCCTGCCTGCACCCTGCACGACCTGGTTCTCTGATGGTCAAGGCCAGAGCCGAGGCCGCCCCGGGCACATTCCTGACCCTATAAAAAGACAGCCATCCTGCCTGCCAGAGGCTCAGACTGCAGCCTCCCGAGGGCCGGGCAGCAACCCGAACCCTAGGAATGTCCCAGAGGCCCGGCCCTGTCTGCGGGAGCCACTGCGAAGCCAGGGAGGGGCTGGCCCACCGCCCCCACCCCAGGCAGCACTGAGGACTGCTTAGCCACCGTTACCAGAAATCACCCAGGACCTGGGAATCCGGCAGAAGAAAGGCACCACGTCCCCGTGGTGTCACAGTGGAGGGTGACCTAGCTGGCCCGGCCAAGGGCTGTTTCATCAGTAACTTCCAGGTTTTCTCAACCTCGGCCCCGGTTATGTTCAGGCTGGGCAGCTCTTTGTGCGGAATTGGGGTCCCACGCATCATGCAGTGTTTTCGGCCTCCCTGGTCCCCACCCACTGGAAGCCAGTTGCACCTGCTGGGCCCCCATCTGCCCCTAGGTCCTCCTGAGCCCTCAGCTAGAGCTGCCTGTGCGGCTGGAGGGGCGCCTGCCCTCTCTGGGCCGACCAACCCGGGACACCGCATCTGGCCCCGCATCTGAGGTGACGTCATCGCCGCGAAAGCTTCCTCTCCCTGGAGCCCCAGGCCGGGGAACCCCCAGCCCGCGTCTAAGGCAATGCGCGTGGGGCCCTAGGAAACGTTTAGGGAGTTCAGGGACGTCATTCTGTTTCAAGATGGAAACAGCCCCCGCGTGACTGAATACCCTCCCGGAGGGCAGATCCTTTTCTAAGGCGTCAGTTTCTTAGAGAGCGGACATAGAACCCAAATCCGCAGTCCTGAAGGGTGGGTGGGCCCGGGGCATGGGCCCAGAGCCCTCCCAGACTCAGGACCAGAGAGGAGCCGCTGTGAAGGCGAGGGGGCGGGGCTCTGAGACTGGCGTCCCGCTGGGAGTTTACGTGGCCCCGCCCACAGCTGCCCCACCCTCCAGTCGAACCCAGGAGGGAGCCGGTGCTCTCCCAGTGGAGCCCAGCTGGTGCAGAAGCCCACCCACCTGGGACCGACTCCCTGGAATCCTGGACCCCATGTGAGGAGGGCCAGGTAACATCTTTCTCTCAAACTCCCCACCCCGGCAAGGCAGGGGAGGGACAAGCCTGTCGAGACCACAGTTTCCAGGGATGTCTCCTAGAAGTCCTCCTGCCGTCATTACGATCGGCAACACAGCGGTCACAGGGCAGGGCTAGAAGTCACAGGCCTGTGTGACAGATCCCCGGAGGAGGCGCACATGGGGTGTCCCTGGGCCCAGCACCCCCACTCTCTGAGCCTCGGTTCCCTCGTCTATGATGTCACTCCCTCACAGGGGGACGAAAGTGGGCCATAGAGGAAAGCGTTCAGCACTGAGCCTGGCATCTAATACGGACGCATCTGGACTCGGGAAGCACTTTTACTGGCTTCGGGTGGGTGGACCCTTTAAGTTAAGCCTCCACTGTCTGGCCCATAAAACAGTCCGTCTAGCCCTGGCCTGTTCTGGTTCCATCACAGGTTATGCCTTCTGCCTGTGGTCCTTGATGGGACCTCCCAGGGAGATGAGCTCGGTGGGGACAGGGTTTTCTGGATTCTGTCCAGGAGGGGAAGTGGGCACTCAGCTCCCTATAGACCTCAGTTTCCACACCCGTCACACGACACCGTGCCGAGGACCCAGGAAGGTGCCCGGGCACGGTGACGCTCTCTCAGGGATGGGCTGGCACGTCACAGAACCCAGTGGAGCCGAGGAGCCACTGGGCAGCCCCGCCAGTGGTTCGGGGCGTCCGCATCCTTGGGGGCGGGAGCTGCAGTCCCGGTCCCCCGCCTGGTGCGGACCTCGGGCGGGGAGGGGCCTCTTACCAGGCCCGTGTTCAGAGCGTTGCTGTCGTCCTCCGGCAGGGGCAGGTACACGGCCAGCGCCACGCAGTTGGCGAAGATGGTCAGGAGGATGATGGTCTCGAAGGGTCTGGCGCCGGGTTAAGGAGAGCTCTTGTGTGAGGCGTGGCTTCGCAGGGTGAGGGGCAGGAGGGCGCCCCGGGAGGGAGGGCCCTGATCTCCCCCGCAGGTGGAGAGAGGCCCGGGCTCCCCTGGGGGGCAGAAACTCCCTCCCATGCTCTGAGGCCCCCAGGCGCTGGCTCGGGCTGAGGCCCAGCAGCTTCCAGGGCCAGGAAGCCTTAAGGCCCCACGCCTGCCTCACACCCGCCTCACCTGCCCTCTCCCCAGGAGCCCGGGCCTTCTGAGGTTCTGGCTAGACAAACTTGGGGGGGCTCCCTGGGGGAAATGGGGCTGACGGGGGACAGGCGAGGGGCCCACAGAGCAGGCCCAGGAAAAGGGACAGTGGGGAGGGATTCCTGAGCCCCAGAGCCCAAGGAGGGAGTGGATGACCACCGGCAGGACCAGCACCCTCAGAGCCACACACAGCACCCCCACCCCTGACGGACCTGCCCCTGCACAGGCATCTTCTGGGGCGGCCCAGGCCAAGCCAGGGCAGGTGGCACTGAGGGGGGAGGGGGGAGAGGGTGGGGGGCTCGGCTGGAAACCCCATTCCCCAGGTGCTGCAGGGGCAGAAGCCTGGGGGGGAAGGTCCAGAGGGCGGAGGCTGGGGGAGGTCCCTGCCCCCCTAAACCTGACCCCTCGGAGGCAGGGCTGGGGGAGCACAGCTGGTTCTGATGAGAATGACCCCGACCTGGCCCCACATTTTCCCTGTCCAGCTCCTTACCCCTGGTCCCCGGGAGCAGCTGCTGGGAGGCCGCTCCCAGAAACCCTCAGAGACATTTCAGATACACCCACTCTTCTCTGGCAGCCCCAGGATGCCGCCCCCCCCCCCGCCTGCCTCCTCCCTCCTTCCTCAAACAGTCCCCAAACCTGCAGGGCTCTTCCTCCCAGAGCCGGGCCCCCGGTGCTGAACCCGTGGGGTCTGAGCTGGGGTTGCCAGGCTCCTGGCCCTTCCTTACAGCCCGGTCCCTCCACCCCACCCCAGCTCCTGCCTCTCCTACCCTCACCCCGCCCATCGAGGGGAAGGTTTTCTTGCAGTGCCCCCCATCCCCAGTTTATTCTCCCTCATCCTATATAGGAATGAGGCTGTTGCTTCAAAGCCCTCAGGGAGACCCCAGGTGACGTGCACTCGGGAGCACTGGCCAGCAGCCCAGGAACACCCAGCCTGGCCACAGCGGTCAGTGGGCATTTGGGTGGGGGGGGTCACTAGGACCTGGCCACCCACTCAGGCCTCCGAAGCCCCCCCATCCGGTCTTCTTCCCACTCCCTCTTGCCTGAAGGCTTCGTTCCCGCAGGGTCCTCCAGCAGTGCCACCCCATCTCCACGGCCCCATCTCCGGTTCCCCCTCTCCCGGCCCCCACCTGCGTGGCCCGCGCCTCCCCGCCCTGGGCCCGGAGGATACTTCCACTCCACGACGCTGATGCAGGCCTTCCTCAGCGGGTTCTCGAGGGTCAAGCAGAACAGGGCCCGAGGGGGCCTGGGCAGAATCTCGGGGGCCGGCTTCTTGGGCTGCTTCTTCCTGAGGCCCTCATCCTGGGGAGAGGACGGCTCCATGCTCCCGGCAGCCCTGGTTCCTCCTGCTGCCCGCCCCACAGCCTCTCCTCCCTGCGTCCCCTGTGCCCTCCTCGCCTTGGGGACTGGCCTCGGTGTCTGCAGGGCCCAGGCTGCCTGCTGGGCCAGCGGGGGAGGGGCTGAGGATTACTGTCCCAGCTTCAGGAGTAAAATTAGCCCCTCAGGCCAGGCAGCTGTCATTCCTTCGCGGCCCAGCAGTGACATCCCAAAGTGTCCCTGGGAGGGTGGGGGTGGGGTGTTGGAAGGCACCTGGGCCTGGGGTGGGCACAGGGAGGAGGCTCATGCTGGGCAAGACCCTCAGTGTGGACCCTCAACTGCAGACTGGCTCCCTCATGCCAAGATTAGCTCTACCTCCGCCAGGGTCATGATGTCCCCCAACCAGAATAGGTGCTGGGTGGTCCCTGGGCACAAGCCACAGCCCCCTCCCCCACTTCAGCACAGGCAGCTACCAGGCCAGGACCCCTCCCCACCCTCACCCCCCCATCAGGAAAATGAAACCCGCTCCCAGGGCAGAGGGCTCCCAAGACCGCCTGGGATGTGCCCGCCTCTGGCTGGGCACCTGCCACACTCCGGCGGACTGTCTGCTTTGTGTCCCCTCCCCCCAACTGCTGCGAGTCGAGTGCTTTCTCTCTGGGGCTCTGGTCTCCCTGAGCCTGCAGGACAGTGCCCAGCTCCCTGTAGGTGGGGGCGGGGCACACCCCACACACCTCACAGCCAGGACGGAGTGGGGATGAGAGAGAGAGAGAATGGGGGTGTGAGGGTGGACCACAGTCCAGGAACCACAAGCTCAACGCACATTTTATTTTCTCACTGGGCTCAAAGGGTGCCAGTGTACCCATGCGGTTCCACCGCCCACAGAGGCAGACAGCTGAGGGGGAAAACCAGTCCTCTCCGCCCCCGGCAGAGGAGAGGCTGGGCAGCGAGGAAAAGGGCCCTCTGGGAGGAGAGGACCGGGCGATCGCCCTCCATCAAGGCGGCTAGAGAGCGCCACCGCGGGGACAGGACGGGGTTGCAAATAGGCTTCCAAACAGGACGCTGGTATTTGAGGCCATCTCGTGGCGAGTCCGGCAGGGCGCATCCGGACCAAATTGCAGCTCGCCTCCCAGGGACTCGAAGACCCAGGGCTACGCCTGAGGTCCCCGGGACACCTAAGGGCGCAGCGGCAGGCTGTGCACAGCCAGGGGCTGGGCCCAGCTTTCCCCGGCGCGGGGCTGAAGCTGAACCTCAGCCAGGCCCGCGGGCGACCATCCTGGGTCGCCCTCTTGCGGTCTGTGGGACCGCAAGAAGGTGGAGAGCACTTCCCCAGGCCTGCGCCCCGCTGCGCCCACCCAGCTCCTGGGCAGGTGTTGGCCCCTCCGTCCAGCTGGTGAGTAGGAAGTCAGCTGCGGGGCAGGGAGGGAGGGGTCGCAGACACAGAGCTCTCGTCCCCTCGGAGTGTCCGTAGCGCTGCGCCGCCCTGCTGTGACCCTGCAGTCACAGGCGCCTTCGGCAGTGGGGCGGCCCTGAGAACCCGGCCCTGATCACTGGCTGGATTCCTCGGACTCCAAGCCCGGCGAGGAAGAGAAGCGGGGGCCCTCGGGCGGTGGGGCGTCGCCTGGGCGCTCGGGTCCGGGCCCGTCGGGCGCGGCGCGCAGCAGATCCTGCAAGTGCCGGATGTAGCGGATGGCGGCGCGCAGCGTCTCCACTTTGCTCAGGCGCCGTTCGGCCAGCGCGCCCGGCAGGTGCCCACGGAGGCGCGCATAGCCCTCGTTGACGCAGCGCACGCGGTGCCGCTCGCGCTCGTTGCGCTTGTGGACGAAGGCGGGCTCGAACGCACAGTCGTAGCCCCCGAGGGCGCCAGGCCCCGGAGCGCAGGGGAACAGGCCGGCGTAGGCGACGGCGGGGCCCGGGAATAGCAGGAAGGGCATGGCGCCGGGGGGCTCCGCGGGCAGGGGCGCCGGCCGAGGAGGGGGCGCGGACCCCAGCTGCATGCTGCCGGGGGGCACCGCGGGTCCCCGGTCCATCAGCGCCCGGCAGAAGTGACTGTTCATGGTGCCGCGCGGGGCTGCACCCACAGCCAGGCGCTCCCGGAATGGCCCCTGCTCGGGGTCTGTGCGTCCCCACCGCGGGGACGAGTCACATCGCCAGCAGCAGCCCGGGGGTTCCAGGACTGCTTAGGGTTGCTCTTCACTCTCTGGGGTGGCTTCAGCGGCCCCCCTAACGGGAGCCATCGCTGTGGACTCGGGTGGCACCGGGCAGAGGCTCAGAGCGCATGGGCCCGAGTCCATCCCCGAGCTGCAGGACTTGGGGTGCTCACTCTCCTCTGCCGCCCATGGGCACCCGCCTGGCCAGCAGTGCCACGCGCTGGGGCCTGGTTCCTCAGGCCTTAGAGACCCCGGCCGCCTGCGGGTGGGGAGGATGCAAGGGCAGGAACTGACTTGCCTCTAGGACCTCGGCAGCTCCGCAGAGAGTCCCGGGACCGGTCCTAAAGGAGAGAGCGGACAGACACACCATTCAGGAAAGGCCAGCAGTGACTGCCCGTGTCACCCGCCTTCCAAGGGGACTGTGGGCTTTGGGGCAGGAGGCAGGGCGCCTGCTGCAGAAGGGCACAGAGCGGCGCTGCAGCCCCAGACGGCCTCCCTCTTGCAGGACCGAGTCCCATTCCTCAGACTCGGGGAGGGGAACCCCTCCCAGGGGGACAGTGGTGCATGAGAATCGAATAAGAAAAAACACACCCGAAACACCCGTGGGGCCTGGCTTCTGACCATGCCAACGAGGGCACTTCCTCTGACAGTGGGGACGAGTCTCATCGCTGACACCTTCCAGAGCCTTCCACCCAAAAATCGTAGCAGTTCTGGGACCACCACAGCTGGCCTCGGGGTCTCACTCAGCATGGAAGGACATGGGTGTTTGGACATGTGGTTGGGACTTTGACGGCCCTCTCCGTGCCCGGTGGAGGGGCATCACTGAGCCCCCCAAACCCCATGTGGACTCACCCACCAGCCGTCCTGGGGGCCTGGGAGTGTCTGCCCTGGGGAGGCCGAGTCCAGAGCCGGGCCCAGCTCCGGGCCTGTGGAGGCCCTGCGGAAATTTGTCAAGGAGCCCGGAGAACTGGGTAGAACGTCAAGCACATAGCCTGCGTCGCACCTGCCTCCCCCCCGGCGCCAGGAGGCTGTGCCTTTCGGGAAGCTTGGCCGGGGTTGGATGTAGCTGCCACCACCCTCACCGCTGCTGCACCCCTGGGAAAGTGATGAGGAACCCCCTTGTCTGTGCTCAGAAGAACTCAGTAGCAGTACCCCCCAAAAAACCCCACCCAGCAGGACCCCGTCCAGCCTGTGGACTGGGCAGAACCGGTGGAGAACAGCCACCCCGTGCCCAGGAGAAGCAACGGCAGCCGCAGGTGCGGGGAATTCCAGGTCCTGCCCTCTCACTGGTGGACGTTTTCCCTCCCTGTTATACTCTCCCCTGGGGACCGTGGGAGTCCCCAGGTCTTCGGGGGAATTCAGATGGCACCTAACAGGGACACAGTTACTAGTACCTGGGGTTGTCGGCGAGGCAGGCGCAGCCTTGGGAGGGGGTCTTAGAGGTGCCGCGGGCCTGGGCCGTGCGGCCCATGCGGCCGGGGCACAGCGCCGACCTGTGCTCACAGACACACCTGTCCGGGAGGAAGTCTAGAAGAAAATCCCGCCCACACGGCTCCCGTTTCCTTTTATCCGGCCGGCTGGGGCTGGGCCCCGGGGGCAGGCTCCGCGCTGTCCCAGTGTGGCCAAGAGCAGAGGGCGCCAGCACAGCGCCCGCCACACTGTCTGCGCTTTCCCAGGGGCCGGGCTCGGGTCTTAGTGTCTCCACCACAGACAGTGCCCCCAGCTTACGGACCAGGGGACAGAGGCTCGAAGAGGGACGGCCACTTGCCCAGGGTAGCACAGCTGCTGCAGGGCAGAGTCTAGAGTCACCGCCGGGCATTCGGGCTCCTGCATACACTGAGAGAGGGAACAGCTAGACTGACCCTCAGAACGGGACCTGCTGGTGTGGGGGCCACCGAGAGCTGGGAATCGGCCTTCCAGGGCCAGGGAACCGGGTAACCTGTGAGCCAACCTTCCTCTCCGTCAGGCACGGCCCTCAATGCCCACGTGAACACTCACACACACACACGCACACACACGCACAGCCGTTTGCTCCTCACTGCCGGCAGGGACTCGTATTCCCCCTATTCCACAGACAGGAAAGTGGGAGCACAGAGAGGCGCAGTAAGCTCCCCAAGGTCACACAGCCAATGAACGGTGAACTTGGGCTTCAGGAGAAACCAGGATACCCCGTGGGGCCGGCCGGGCCTCGCCACCCTCTCCAGGGCACGTCTTCCTTAACCGCCGAGCGTGAGCAAAGCCGCGATGTGGGACAGAGAAAGGCGGGTCCGGGCGCTGCTCTCCTTCCCCTGGAAGGCCCGTGCTCACAGGGGTCAGTGTCCCATGGGGAAAGCCCGTGGCCTCCCAGGATGACAGGAGTGTGAGGTTTCCTGGGGTCCCGGCCACCCCAGACTCAGAGGCTCTGTAGGTGGGAAGCAATGCCCCTGTCACCAGGCTTTGGGGACACGGCACCTCCTTGGAGTGAACTTATGTTGCTTCGTCCTTGCGGTGTGTCACACCCTGGGTGTCCCGATAAGGAGGTGTCTTCTGTCCCACTCCACCAGGAGGAAGCTGGGGCCATGAGAACCTGCCCTTGTGGCCATTTGGGACAGTGGACCCTCACATCCCCGCCCCAGGTCCCTGTCCTGGTGGCTGAAGTGTCAGGCAGACAGTCTCTCGCCAGATCGCCGTCCATCATATGGTCTCCCGCGTTTTAGGGGGACAGGTGTTTTCTGCATCCTGTTGAAACTTAGCTGATAACCGGGACTCAGGCCAACAGAATGGGCTTCGGACCCTGCCTTTGCCCCCGCCCAGCTCCGGGACCATGAGCAAGCCCGTCGTCTGTCCTGTGTGTGGGGGGACGGCACCCACGCTTTCTTCCTGAGTTACTGCGCCATGCAGGGAGACCGGCTGGATCCGGCCCCACACAAACTCTCCGGGCGCATGCAGTCAGACCCCCTCGGTCTGGGCCGGACTCACAAGGAGACCGCCATTGCTGCAGAAACTGGATCCCCTTGAGGGAACTTCCCGCCCCTGTTACAGATGGGGAAACTGAGACCCAGAGAGCTTGTGTGGCTTAGGTGAGCTTCTAGTGGACAGTGGGGTTTAAAAAATAACAAGAAAGCCCACATAGACTTTGCTCTGGTCTGGACACTCGCCTAATTTTGCGTGCTGCCCGTGACCGGGCTCCAGGGTGGCTGCTACCGCGGCTGACCCTGTGCCAGGGGACGGGCAGAGACCCAAGCAAACAGAGGCCTGATGGCAGCCAGCTGCTCGGGGGGCGGGGGGGGAGCTGGACCCTGGCCCCCACAGTTGGCACTGGAGCCTGCACCCCCACCCACAGCCCCGCACCTCTCAAGCCGTCTCCCATGGCCAGGAGCAGTCCAGTGCTCCCAGGTCCCCAGCCTCCCTTCCAGGATAGCGCCCAGCTGGCGTGCCCCCAGGGAGAGCCCTGCTTTGCTTCTCCATGTGTCAGGCATCTGGCCAAACCCAGTGCCCGGGGGCAGAACCACAGAAGCACCCTCAAAGCCCAGCACACCGCCCCCCACCCCCAGCCAGCAGGAGGCAGCCTGGGTCCCTGCCTTTGGGGAGGGAAGCCGTCGGGGACGAAGCCCTCGGGGAGCAAGTTCCTGGCCTCGTTCCCCCGGCCGCCACCTGTGTGCGGTTACCTCCTGGGTCGGCCCCTCCAGCACAGCCACCCATGGCTTGTGGGCTTCCAGGCGGGGGACAGTGGGCCTCCGCACCTCCCGCCTGCCCTGGCGCCTCGCAGCCTCTGCCCGGCTTCCCGCCACAGCACCGGGAGCCAGGTACGCTTTACCTGATGGAGCTTCCAACAGGGACACACCCAGAAGGGGAGGGAGGAGGGCGGAGGGGGATGGGCTGGAGGAGGAGAGAGGGCCACTCCTGGCCTGCCGTGATTGGCCGCCGCAGCCCTGGCAGGGCAGGTGGAGATGCTCTGCCCCCAGGGCACTGCCCCGCGGAAAGCCCAGGGCTGATGGCTGCCTGGGGCCAGTGTGCGGGGCAGGAGGGCACCGGGCTCCTGTGGGGGAGGCCCTGCGGTTGAGGAGCACACCTCTCTCCGAATTCAGGGGTCTGGGCTGCCGGGTGGCCCCACGGCACCAGCAGAATGAAGACCCCCGCCCACACTCTTCACCCACCATGGCCCTGGGGAGCCTGAGCCGGAGTCGGCCATCAGGGGTCACTCTGAGGGGACCTGAACGAGCATGGTGGCACCGGGTCCCTCCAAAGTCGCCGCAGCCCAAGAGCACACACTGTCAGGCTGCGTTTTCTCTGCACCCACTCACGCCCTCACCTGTCCTTCCCACTGATGTGCATGGAATCTCAAAGCTGACACGCTGTGGCTTCCCCTGAAACTCATTAAAACAACCGCATGAGCACTAGAATGAAGAATTCGCGCGTGGGTGCCACCAGAAATGCTTGTGGTGTGCACAGCACGTTGGGAAGGGACGGGCTGCTTCCCCACCCTCCCCGCCTGGAGAAGACCTGCTGCTCCAGGCCCAGCTGGAGCTCCCACCTCCAGGCTGGAGCCCCACCCTCTGTGCCTGCCGCCCTGGCCAGAGGGGCCCAGTGTCCTCAGGGTCAGCCTACGTGTGGCCTTGTCTCCGGCTCAGCTCCACGCCAGGGCACAGCCGGGGCCAGGGGAGCCCCATGGTGTCGTCCCAGGAGGTTCTGAGAGGAGCTTTCCCAAGGCTGGTTTAGCTGCAGTCCGGGTTCTCTGGCCACGGAGTGGGGGAGGCCCCTGTGACCCCTCAGAGCCCAGACTGAGGGGCAGAGCCCAGACTAAGGGCCCCACTGCAAGTGGCAAGAAGGACCATGGCCGTGGGCACTCTGAGTGTGTCCTTATGTGGGAGGCTTGTCCTTGGCTCAGTGCAGGTTCCCCGTCTGCTCCTGGTCGCCTGGGGCTACAGGCCGGCACCCCACTCCCAGTGACGACTCAGAGGCACGGGAGGCTTTCAGGAGGACTTGGTGGCCCTGCTAGCGAGTGGCAGTTGGCTTCTGCACCCGGGCTGCTGGGGAGCATGGGTCTCAACCGGGCCACTCACTTTACTAATTGGGAGAGGTTGGGACCTGGCCCCACAATGGTCACCATCCTCTGAGGGGCAGCTACAGGTAAGGCCCTGGTGTCCTCAGAGACGGGCTCGGGGACAGCTGGGGTTGCCACAGGGCCGAAGGGGTGGGAAACCAGGTCTTTTCAGGCCTTCAGGGCGCACTGCCCACCCACCCTGCCAGTTCCAGGGGCCCCTGGGAGTCTCCGGGTCAGCAGAGTGCAGGTCTGGGCGTCTGTCACCCGGCCCTGCGGCCCTTTCTTCAGGCTCTGCTCTCTCCTCAGCCCCACACAGGGCAGTGAGCTGTGGGGGTTTGCGGGGAGCCAGCCACCTCCCAATACCCCCCACCCTGGCACAGGCTTGCAGGGGCCCCGTCACTCCTGCCCAGAGCGGCTCTGGGGCCACAGACCAGGGGGCAGGCAGTTTGTTGCCTCTGCCAAGACCTCGAGCCTCAGATGGAAGCCATCAATGGCTGTGCAGGAGGCAGGTGACATGATGTTTTGTGGCCCCTGAGCAATGACGAGGACATAGATGGGGACTGTGGTGTTAGGGCTGAGGGGACAGGAGGGGATGGGTTCCTCAGTCACCCAGAGGGACGGCTGCTGGGGCTTTGGGAGTGAGGGGACGGCAGACAAGGGCAGAATCTCCAGGTTTCGGCTGGAGTAATCCTGGTTCAGACAGAGGAAGCGGTGCACAGACGGCCTGAGGCCCGGATGCCGGCTGTGTGGCACCCTGGGGTAGGTCGGGGGTGGAGCCCACCCGGGAGCCAGGTGGACAGGCCTGGAGCTCCGGAGTCGGGTCTGGGCCAGAGACGGGGAGGGCGGGAAGGAGCGTAGCTGTTCAGGGAGACGCTGAAGCCCAGGGGGAGGAGCCTCGGGGCCGGGTGGGGTCCTGGGAACCCCTGACCTTAGGGAGGTGGAGGGGCCCCAGAGGCCAAGTGCAGCGGCTCCCCAAGGGAGGCCCACAGTGAGCCCTGCGGTCGAAGGGCAGGGGCAGAGGTGAGAGCAGGACCCCCCCTCCTGACCTTGCTGCGCAGCCTTGGGCTGGACGCCCGAGGAGGGTGCGGAGACTGGGGGCGGCTCTGCTGGCCCGAGGTGGACGTGGGGCCCGCCAAAGGCTTTTTGTAGGCAGGACGGTCATGCACATTCACAGGCTGAGGAAGACCCGGGACGGGGGACATTGAAGTGGCTTGGGGGCCAGAAGGGACAGCGGGGGTGACTCGGGACAGGAGGGACACGCTGCCCGGAGGCCGTGTGGAGGAGGTCAGGTCCTGCTCGAAGACACGCTCGCAGGTGGGAACGGAGCCTGGCTCCTGGAGAGGCCGAGTTCACACCTGCCGGCTCTGGTTCCGTGCAGTGAGGCAAGGTCTAGGGGGCGGGAAGTGCGGGAGGGGTGCCCCGTGGCCCACAGAGAGTGAGGCCTCAGGAAAGGGGTTCTCGGCCCGGGGAAGGGGTGGCCTGGCAGCCACGGACCCGCAGAGGCCCAGCTGGGTCCCTGTCTGCAGACCTGGGCTGCCTCGAGGTGAGAGCACCGCCGTGGACAGCAGGGGTCGAGGGTGCAGGGCCCACGAGGGCAGAAATGTCCCCGGCGCTGGCTGCTCGGGCTTGGCCTGGCTCATGGCTGTGGCACCAGGACCCCTGTGCTGGCTGAGTGCACCTGCTCGGGGTCTCACAACCAACTCTATCCCCCCTCAACCACTGTGTCCTTTGTAGGTTTCTAGTGCTGACCCCAGTCTCCGCTCCTCCTGGAAGCCCGGCCAGCAGGTCACCCCCAACCTCAGCACTGGCACGTGACCTTGCAGACTGGACCCCCCGCCTCACTGAACACCCAGCCTGGGGCTGGCTCTCTGGGTGGCCTGGGGACAGACAGTTGGGTCACGGGTCCCTCAAAGACCCTGCTTCTGCTTGGACCCCAGACACCCCATGGCACTTCCTGGGCAGAGGCTGAGAGACCAGTGTGGCTTCCACTTGTGTCTCTTCCTGCCGACCCACCCCTGGTGGTTTTGGATTCAGTGCCGGCATGTCTGAGAGACCCCCAATGACATGGGCTCGTTCCCAGTCTCAGGGGACTGTCCTCGACAGTGAAATGCCAACAGGCTTGACTCGGGGTAGCTTCAGGGGCCGCCTGCCCCGTGTTCCTGGGAGAGGAGGGACCAAGAGCTGCCGCCTCCAGCCACAGGGCAGCGGGGCTGGAGGTGAGCAGGACGCCACAGGCACTGTCTCTGCCACACGGCACTTACCAGGTCACCAGGGACACGCTTCGCTCTCGGAACCTCTTGAAATGCAGAGAGTGAGAGAAACAGACAATTTAATTGTGGCTTCCATGATAACAGACTACAAAGAACACGAGCTTTCTCCATCTCCACACCCTGGCACAGCGGAGCTCGGGGACCATTGACGACCCGGGCACAGGCACTCGGGCACCCAGAACCTCTCCTGCCCCGAGATGCCACCACTATCTGGTTCAGCTTCCCAGCCATGGGGGGGGGGTGCTGCCTGGCGTCCTGAAGTGAGGTGAGGGCCTGGTCCGCAAGGGCATGGCCCAGCCTGCTCGGTGGGGGACCGTGGGGAAGGAGGGGGTCAGTGCCCCCCCCCCCACAGAGTGGCAATGGCCCAGCTCCGCCCTCCAGAGGTAAGAACATTCCAGGTATTTGGAGCTGGGAGGGCAGCACCGAACGCCTCCCTCCCCACTGGCTGCCGCTCAACGGGGACGTTGCTACAGAGGAGACGCGATGTGCGCCACGTGCTGAGGTTGGGGGTGACCTTCCCCTTGACGGGGAAGACCCGGGAGGGTGGCCGGAGGCGGGAATGTGGCCCCAGCTCCGTCCAGCCGGAAGCTGGCGCCGTGGCCCCTGCCCGCCTAGCTGAGCATCTTCTGCCGGTCGAAGACGGTCTTCCTCTGCTCACGCACCTGCAGTCGCCACCGCTGCTGCGCACCCTCCACGCGCCCCAGCACCGAGTCAGCTCGGGGGCCTCCGGGTGAGGCCGCGGCGCCCACCGTGGGCCGAGCATCCTGCGGCGGGAAGAGGAAAGGAGACCTGAGCCTCACAGGGGCCCCGGGCTGTGGGGTCTGCCGGGTGGCCCTGCCCCCCAACTCCAGGGCCTGGGGAGAATCCGGAGGCATGTCACAGGCACCTCTAACCCACAGGAAGAGGACCCTGGATGTCACAGGGTCACAGCCTGCACGGTGGCAGGAAGTCCAGCCACGGGGTGGAGGGTGCGCTGCACTGAGGGGCCTGGGATCTGCTGGGAGGGGGACCGCAGGGCTGGGCCTCTGCAGCTGGACCTGGCCCTCCCCTGCAGAGCCCACCCTGGACAGAGCAGCATGGCTGGCGCCCCACCTCCTCCCCTCTGCTCTGACAGCCATCTCTGTCCTCAAAGGCAGCATCCGCCCCTAATTACCACTTCGCTGCCTCTGAAGCCGGCGAATTTCCTGCAGGACCCCGAGCCCGATCTCTGGGGGAGTTGGAGCCCAGGCCGGCCCACGTGCCCGCGGGGATTTCCTCCCAGCTCTCCCAGCCTCTCATCTCCTGCCACCCGTCTCTTAAGGGATTAGCACAGCCCTCTAAGCCAGAGCCACCCCGTAAATGCAACCTTGCTTCTAACACCCGGCTGGCACGGCTTCTGTCGCCACACAGCTGCCAGGCTGCAGGGGAGGCGCACAGTGGGGTGTGAGGGGCAGAGCGAGCGGTGGGCAGCTGCAGACAGGGGTCTGCCTAGTGGTGAGGCTGGCAGCAGGCGGCCCGTGGCCTCCGTGGAGCTGGGCCTCGTGTCTGGAGCACTGCCCAGGGAGAGCAGAGGCGGCCATGGCCCAGGGGCCCAGGTCCAGGGCAGAGAAAGGGCCCACCTCCGACTGCCCAGGGCTCGTCCCAGAGGCTCGCCACAGGCACCAGGAAGGGGGGACGGCCGACCCCTTGGTGGCTGGCTGTCCCTGGACAGTGATTTCTCCTGGCTTCAGTGTCACGTAACAAGCCCACTGTTTGCAGACGTTATGTGCTACGGCGTCAGCAGGGGTCACATGCACGCGCACAGGACACGGGAGAAGCAGCAGGGCGCGTCCTGGTATGCTCTGCTCTGCTTCACGGGTGAAACATGCTTCTCCCAACACCAAGTCAGTGTGACCCAGTGGCCGAGACCCGCAGTTGGAGAGACACGGTTGACGACCAGCACGAGCGTGGCCAGCTCAGTGGACCGTGTGAGTGAATGAGGCACATGGCATATGGGCCGCCCCAGACAGGGGCTCGGGGTCGTGCTGTGTCCCCCCACAGCTCAGCATGGGGCTGGGACCATGGCAGACTCACAGTCCAGCACTGACACCGCCCAATGCGAGACCTGGATGGGCAGCCTCACCCTCTGACCGTCTGTCCCTGTCTGGAAGTGAGGTGGTGCGTGCAGACCCCTCAGCGGGTCCTCGATGCACGGCAGGAATTACCATCGGGCCCAGCTCTGGTGGCCCAGGCGGGGACAGGGGGACCTGCCTTTGGGAGTTCCTGCGGTTTTGCACACCCTCCCACGGCAGCTGCTCCGAGGGGGCTCCATGGTGCGGAGGACTGGCCCCCACACAGCCCAGTGGCTGAGGTGGGCACCCAGGCTCGCTCAGGATGCTCCGGGCCACCAGGACCTAGCCCACCAGCCTCTCCCTCCCCAGTCCCACCCCACCCCCTCTGGGAGCTGCGAGGACCCGGGGGAGTCTTGCAGGCGGCTGCAGGGCAGGGGAAAGGCTCAGCCTGCTTCCCCTCCCCGCTCAGGGGGAAGACGGGGGCTCCCTCGTCAGACCCTGGGACCAGGGACCTCCCACTCAGAGCTGCCCCTGCTGCCTGGGCAGAGGGTGCCGTTGTAGTGGCCGAGTCGTCCCCACCCTGGTCCCTTCATGTCCCCAGGTGCCATCGCCCACTGCAGGACTGTGCCGTGTTGGGGTGGCAGCTGAGGCTGGACAGGCACTGGCCCCCTTTCCTGAGAGGTTCAGTCTCAAGTGACTTGGGGAGCTGGTGGGCACAGCAGGGAGGAGGGGTGAGCCCCTCTCTGAGGACGAAGAGAGGAGAAAAAGACTCCTCCACCCCATCTCCGACCCACCCTGGGCCCGGAGCCAGACAGACCATCTTGTCACTGACCTGGCCGCACGGCTGAGAACGTCCCTGGGCCGGCCCATCAGAGGGCGGCCACAGTGCCTGCCCCATGTCTCCACGTGTCTCGTCCTCCCTGCTGCAACTGCTCCCACGGCCTCTGCCTGGCCAGGGTCCCCCTGACCCCCACGCCCCTGCCACGCCCACCTCATGACGCTTCCCTCAGGGCCCCGGTCCCTGCTCCGAGGCCTCGCTTGGCCACCCCGCTGCTGTGGCCGATGCACACGCCTGAGCGCTGCGCGGGGCTGAACGGTGGACCGCGCCTGCTGGCCACCCTGCCCCACCGGTACCCCAGCCTCTCCTGGGGGCGGAGACTGCCCTCAACTGACCCTCCTACAGTCACAACGCCACGTAGGTGTGAAGACCTGAGCGAACCACCTGGTCCTTAAGGACAAAGGAGCACTTCTGAAGCTGCCCACGCACAGTCTGTCGTGGTAGGTGAGAGCCCCCACACGGACCCCAGGAAACGACCCTGGGGTTCAGCACCGCGGACAGCGACCGCCAGCGCGCGGACGGTGGAGTCAGCGCCCCCCACCACCGGCTGGCCCGGTAGCTGCTTCAGAGCGCGCGTAGCCTGCACACCTTTCTGCTCTGTCCTCACAGGAGACAAGGGGAGCGTCCCCTTCACAGCGTGTCTTGTCCAAGCTCCCTCATCAGACCCTGGGACCAGGGACCTCCCACTCAGAGCTGCCCCTGCTGCCTGGGCAGAGGGTGCCGTTGTAGTGGCCGAGTCGTCCCCACCCTGGTCCCTTCATGTCCCCAGGTGCCATCGCCGTCTCTCCTGGATTCCCCGCTCACCCTGCCCACAGGGCCCAATGCTGTCCCCACAACCCGGGGGTGGGGGGGAACCACTGGGGCCCCGCTGTGGGCAACACACAACCAGAGCCTCCGAGAGGGCCTGTCCCCCCTTTTCAAAGAGGACCAAGCCCACACATCTGAGCTGCTCTGCTTCTGTCCCGGCAAACACGCTTGCTTCCTCCTTTCAAAGGGTGTCTGAGCCCGGGGATTAGGTCCTAATGCTGCTGGCATGCTGGGTGGGGGGGCGGCAGCGCCCAGCACCAGGCTGCCAGGCCTTCAAAGGGACACGCCGGCTTTCATCTCCCGGCCCAGCATGGCAGGAGAGCGCCCTGCTCAGGAGCCGGGGGGTGGAGCCAAGGGCCCCAGTCCTGGGGTGTGACCCCTCTGTATCTGACCCTTGACTGGGCCCCAGACTCGGTCGGGCAGGGGTCGGGGTGGGGGGCCGAAGCCCACTCCGTCTCTACAGAGTTCCTGTCTCACGGCCACTGAGTTGCACCGGCCACTGAGGCGAACGTCCAGCGAACCCAAGAGGTCTTGTTCTGACTTCACTCCCCTTGGGGCCAAAGCCAAGTCCCCCCAGCCCGGAAGTGGCCCCTCCCTGGTGCTCTCAGGGAGGGTCCTCCAGACCACTAACAAACTTGGAGACACAGCCTCCGCCAGCCCCGACCCCACACTCTCCAACACCCCCAACTCCACGTGCCCAGAGAGGGGAGGACGAGCCGAGTGTCCTCACCATCCAGGACCAGACGGGACCCTGCGCTCCACTCAGCCCTGTGCTCCCCAGATGCTGGGTGGTCACTGTCCTTGGAGCTGGCTTTGAAGGCCCCCTCTGCCAGGAAGCCCTCCCAGACTGACAAGAAGAAAGGGTGAGTCCCCGACCCCGGTCTAGTAAAGGGCCTTCCCGGCCTCATCCCCCGCCGTCTATTTCCTGGACCCGATCCTACCCACACCTTCCTGCTCCGTGCCCGCTCTCCTGGCTTGGGCTGTCCTGGGCAGAAGCCCCTGGAGGCAGACATGGGTCTGTAAGCCCATGCAATGCAGGCAGAGGGAGGGAGAGAGGCTTGTGCACAGGAGAGGAGCCACTAAGCCCCAGGAAGGGACAGCCAGGAGCACCAGGGCAAGGCTACAAGAGGCTGCACAGAGAGATGGGGCCATCCCGGTCCGGGTGCCGGCAGGGGGGCCTTCCCGTGACTGCGGTGCAGCGCCGGCGCCCCTCCGGTCAGGCCTCAGACACTGGACACGCGCCTTACTTCCTCTAGAACCCCCCTTTCCCCGGCACCCTGACACGTGGCCACAGCGCCCCTCACTGTGGACAGTCCTTCCTACTCCGCCAAAACCTGCCCCCAGACATCCCTGGTCCGATCCAGCTCTACAGCAGGAACTGCACTGACCACGCCTGGCCCTTTCTCCCCAGAGCCCCCCTCATGGAGGCAGCCCTGACTTAGACTCAAAGTGGGGAGCCCCGCAGCAGACAGGGGCCAGGGGCAGGGACTCAGGCCGGAGGGCGGGGCTGCCCCTCCTCTGGCTCCGGGTCCAGGCAGCAGGGAGCCTGGCATTCCGGGAAGAATACGCCTGCCCGAACTGTAATCAGCATGCATCTCTCAATTATGCCCCAGCCAGACCTGCAATTAGCTCGGTGCCCTAACCACCGCGTGTTTATTAGCGATGCCCCCCGCTCCCAGAGCTGCTATTACCTTGCATTAATAACCAGGTAGGCACGCGGGGTTTCCTCCTGAACACAGACCACCCAACTCTGGCTCCACCCCCTCAACAGGCGAGGCTCAGCCTCTCTGCCCCACCTCCGGCCCAGCGTGTGCGAGCCGAGGGCTGGGGGCGGCTGGCACGGGTCGGCAGGTCACGGAAGCTCCCCAGGGCAGCACCCCCGGCACCGGGCAGCTTCCCACTCGGGTCTGAGCCCCGCCCTCCCCTCGGGAAGCCTGCCCTGCCCCACCTCCGTCCCTACTGGAGACGTCTGACCTGCGGTTCCCGGGGACAGTTCAGCCTAGGACTGGTGACCCTGAACCCCACACTCACTGTCTAAGCGCAAGGCTGCTCCTCCCATGGTGTTAAGTCCCCCACCCCGGCCTCCGAGGTGGGTCCTGCTGCCCTCGGTTTGTGGGGGGGGGGGGAACTCCCATCTGGATGCCGAGATCAATAGTGCACCTCCTGGAGGGTCTTTTGTTTTTGTTTTTTAGAGCTCAACATCTCCAGTTTCTTCAGCCAACTGTCCCAGGGCAGGGCTGAGATGGAGTCTCCCGTGGAGACCGCTGTCCTCCTGGCACAGGGCCCGCCGACGACCTCCCTCTGCCCACCCCACCTCCCCTGCAGGGCGTCCAAACCTCTTCAACAAGGGGCAAGGGGACGGGGGTGACAGCGGTTGTTCACCACGCCGGGCCCCATGGTGCCAGGGCCCTCGGGGGTGCAGGGTGCCTGGAGTTACAGGTTCCCCGTCTACTCAGCAAGACATGGGGGCCTTCCATAACCTGCTGTTAGCTCCCGGCCACAGTTCCAACCTGTCCACCTCGACCCAGAAATACACAGCTTCTCAGGCCCACCACCCGCCTGACGCCCCATTAAACCTGAAAGCCCACTTTTTCCCTTGAGCCCACTGGGCCAAGCTGTGTGCTGAGCGGTGTCTGGGGTCACGGGAGTTACTCCTGCCACCTAAAGCTCACTGCCAGCCTGGCCCAACCGAGCAACCAGGACGCCACTGGTAACCGGCCTGGCTGGCTCCCGCCCGGCTCCCACCCCCTGCCCCGCAGTGCGGGAGGAAGACGGGGCCGACCGGCTGACACCAAAGCTGCCGACGCCAGACACCTGGAAAACCCAGGACCACCCCCTATGTCATCTGGGGGCGCACAGGGCAGTCCCCGCCAAGGAAAAAGCTGGCATCTGCGGGCCGTGTGGGACACTGGGTGGGGCGGTGGACGGGAGCGTGGGGGAGGCAGGACCCCGTGGGTGCAGGACCGCGGGCGGCCGCTGCGGCCCAGCTACCTCATCCTCCTCTGCACTGTGCAGCTGCTCGGTGTAGGCGTCCGGCTTCCGGATCAGGGGGTCCACCAGCATCAGGAAGGCCATGTACAGCAGCAGCGCCCCCACCACCGACAGGTACAGGATGATGGTGACCTGAGAAGACACCGGGGCCCTGAGGCCGGACTGCGGCTCGGAGGGACACTGGATGGCCGTGGGGCCCTGCTCCGAGTGTCCCCTCACCGCTCATCAGGTTCCCACGCCCAGAGAGACACCAGAGGATGAACCCTGTGGATCAGGGTGCCCCTCGATGCCCCGGGGTGGGGGCAGGGTGGGGACAGAGGCCCACCAGCTGCCAGAGTTCTGCATGGGGCGGTGAGCCTGGGTCACCAAGTGGAGTGAAGCGGGGCTCCCGGGGGAGGAGCCAAGAGGGAGGCTTCAGTTCTGAGGGCACAGCACCACCAGGTGGAGGGGGACAGGGAGGGTCACCCTGTGGGGAGCGGAGAGCCGGGGACCGGACGACAGACTTTAACCTGCTGCGTCTGGAGAGCAGCTCCCAAGCTGGGGTGATGTTTGTTGGGCAGAGGAAGACGACTTCGAGAGGTGTGCTGGACATTTCTCTGTGAGGGCACCCAGGACCAGACCCTCCAGAACCCTCCAGGACGCTGAGCGCCAAGGTGCCTAGACCGGTGGGGGCAGTGCCCCCAGCGATTGGGGACACAGAGACACGCCCCCCCGGAGGGCAGTAGGCACCTGACTGAGGACAGCGGGACAACATCCTTCACCAAGGGCCAAGGCTACAGCTGGGCAGGGTGTCACCGTCACCTGGTTTGGGGACCGCGCCTCAGATGCCCACTCTGCCTCCCGACGCCTGGCCATCCGTCCCTGGTCTCTGACCCCAGCCCGGACCGGAGCAGACTCAGACAAGGGGTAAATGGAAAAGGGGTCTTAGGACTTTCCAGTCTGCTGCCCCCTCAGTCAACGCCAAGTTCAAGGGGGCCCTCTTCCCGTGACCTCCTCCTGCCTGTCCCGAGGGTGGGGCAGTGGATGGGGCCTGAAGGTGTGGGGGACCTGCAGGCAAATCTCAGGGCTTAGGAAGTGTGTCTGGTGAGGACCCCGGGGCAGGGAGCCCCTCCCTGCCAAAGAGGGAGGGGCGACGTCTGGCTCAGAGCTTGACGAGCTCAGGTGGCCGGTCGCCTCCGGAGCCAGTTCAGAGACGGGGAAAGGCAGCGGCAGGAGGGGCAGCAGGGCAGGAGGACGGTGGCCATGGGGAGGACAGAGCCTCGGGGACAGGCAGCTGCTTCCACCTGAGAGGTGAGAACACGGGGCTTTCGAGGGTCACCTGCTCTTCCCCTGAGCCTGGAGGGAGGACCCAGCGAGGTGGCTACATTCCCGGGTCGCTTCTGACTGACACTTGCTCTGGACTCCTCGCAGAACCAGCAGGAATAAGCCCAAACACAGGCCCGGAGGGCTGTGTGCAATCGGGAGGTGGGGCCGGGCTCGGGACCGCCAGACCCGGGGCCAGGGGCCAGAGGCGCTCTGCACAGTGAGTCCCTGGGAAAGCTGGGTTCCAGGTGAGTGAGGGGGGCTCAGGACAGAGGTCCCAGGACGGCCGGCTCCAGGGGCGGGAGTAGGTCTCCGTGCCCGGGACAGGCCTGCCTGGAAGCCAGCCCCAGAGGCACCCGGAATGTTCTGGAACAGAGCCCAGCACAAGCGCACTCACCTTGATGGTGGTGGTGCTGCGCTCCTCGTACTGGCACTCACAGAGCAGGCAGTAGGCCTCCGCGTCCACCGGCATGGGCTCCACCACGCGCAGGCAGTTGCTGCAGCGGCGGGCAGACAGGCAGGGCGTGGGCGGCGGGCCTCTGCCCGCTGTGGCCCGGGAGGGGCCGGGGCCACTGAGCATGGTGGGAGCGTCTGGGGTGGGCTGTCTGTCCGTTAACCTCACCCCCAGGGCACTCTCTGGACTGTGACCACCACAGACGGGGGCCGGGACCCCCCCAGGATTTCATGTCCTAGGGCTTCGAGAACGAACATCTCTGGGGGGATGTGATGGACAGGACAGGGACTGCCATCGACAAAACTGTATTTACTGTCCCCTGGAAAGCTGCTGAGAGTAGGCCTCCCTGTTCTCGCCACACACACACACACACACACACACACACAGCAACTGTGCGAGCGGGCGGAGGTACTAACCAGCTCTACATACGTGTAGCATGTCATCCCCATGCACCTCAAACTTGCACAGCGCTGTGTGGGACTTGGAGCTCAATAAAAAAAGCACCACCGGGCAAAAAGCACCACCATGAAAGTCCCAACTCTCATCACGGGGTCCCACCATCTGTGCTCAGCTCCCTGCGGGACTGGGCCAGGCAGGACGGGGTGCCCCAGGTCCTGAGAGGCCCGGGGCAGAAGCCCACCCTCCACCCGAATGGCCTCAACTCTGCCCCATCCTCACAGAGCATGATGGACGCAGCAGGCGCGGCGGCCTTACCAGTCCTTCTGCGAGACGTTCTGGTTGTAGATGTGGCCGCTGAGGTTTCTGTACGGTGGGCAGATGCACTTGCACCTGGTGTCCTCGGAGCTCTGGGGGAGACAGCAAGCCTCAGGCGTATCCCAGGCTCACCTTCTAGCCAGACTACAACTCTCGGCCCCCCGTTCCCTACAGCAACCATGGGAAGGCTCTTGACCTTGCCCCAGCCCCAAGTTCGGCAAAGAAGGACGTTCGCAGGAAGGACGCTCCATCACAGGGGCTTCCAGACAAGCGGTCCAGGTGACAGATGATCACAGAAAGCTGCCAAGGGCAGGGGGCTGGTGGGCTGGGGGCACAGGGAACGTGCACCCCACCTGCGTGTGCACCTCTGTCCTGGTCTTTGTAGCTGGCCCCTGCTCCCACCCCCCCACCCCCCCCTCCAACCTCCTGGGTTGAGATTGGGGGAAAAGCCAGGCCAAGGGAGGAGGAAAGTGGGTAGTTCACATGGAAATGCTCACGCTGCCCCTCTGAAGCCACAAGAGACAAGGCCGCAAGGACGTTCACCCGGGGTAGGGATTCCTGAGAAACCCTCCTTAAAGAAAACCCCGCAGGCCCCGGATGCTGTTCCTCGGGCTGAAAGCCCACGACTCCAAACGTGGATTGAACGCCTGGCCGAACCGCAGCCTCGGCCTTTCCCAGAAACACCATCTTCATCAACCAGTCTGGGATCCTCTGGCCAAGCGCCAGGAAGGTCATGTGACAGACGGTCCCTCTCTGCCCCCCATGGAAAGAAGGGGCAGCCTGCGGGGTAAAAACCTTCCCCTTCTCTTCCCCAAAGAAAAGACACCCAGGCCAAAAACAACCCCTCGTTTTCTCTTGTCAAAAGCTCCCTTCCCCGCCCTTCTTGCTATAAAATCCTTCCAGTCTGCACACCCCCTTGGGGCCCGTCTAGCTGCTGGGTGGGCTGCCCCCTGGTTCATGAGTCACGGAAAAGCCAATGTCTGCCTTCGCTGGTGTGGCTCATGGGTTGAGCACTGGCCTGCAAACCAAAGGGTTGCAGGTTTGATTCCCAGTCAGGGCACGTGCCTGGGTTGTGGGCCAGGTCCTCTGTAGGGGGCGCATGAGAGGCAACCACACACTGATGTTTGTCTCCTTCTCTTTCTCCCTCCCTTCCCCTCTCTAAGGGTAAATGAAATCTTTTTAAAAAACCATGCAGATTCCTATTCACGCTAAAAAAAAAAAGAGTCAATGTCTTCAGTTGCGCTCTGCTGAATTTTGCTAACACCTCAGGCCTCCCTCCCAGCTTTGGTACTAGGCCACCCAAACCCAGGTCCTGGCCGCTTCCCCGGAAAGAGTGGAAGAGACCTGAGGAGTCCTAGCCCTGGGTGGTAGCCCCCGGCGCAGAAGTGTCCATCTGTTGAGGACCTGATGCTGGAAGAGCACGTTGCTGCAGAACCACTGCGGTGACCCAGGGGCCAAGAGTGGCGCGGACATCTCAGGCCACTAACCGGAACAGGGAATCCCGGGCTGGAATCCCACCCGGAGGTGCCGCCCCCTGGGAAACCCCCAAAGGCAGGGCAGTAGGACAGTGAGGGCTGGTGCCCATCTGTCCACAGGGGTGCAGGCCCTGCCTCCTCACCTTGTTGGCCTGGGCTGGGGGTGCCAGCAGACAGCCGACTGCGGCCGCCACGCACAGGAGCTTCATGCAGGTCATCTTGGGGGCCCGGAGACCCAACACCTGAGAAAGGACGCGGGGTCAGACGGGGCCGGGGCCCGCGGCCTCACCCGGGATAGGTGGGGGCTGGGTTCCGGGGATCCAGCGCCTCCTAGACCCGGCGCCAAATGCTGTGGTCCCTCCCTCTCCCCAGTCTTGGGGCGTCCGAAAGACAGTGGGGGTGTCCCGGGTCCCCGATCCCCCGCTCAGGCCCAGTGATCCCCGCCCCGAGGCCCGCAGCCCACTCTGCCCACTGAGGCCCCTAAAGACCTGGGGCGTAGAGTCCGGGAGCTCTGACCCTACGGCCAAGCCGGCACCGCCACACCCGCGGCCTGGGGTCACCCGGGACCCCTCTGGGACGTCACGATCACGCACCCCTCCCCCACTCCCGGCCTCTCACCTGCCAGCCCCGCAGTGGCCGCGAGAGACCCGGCTGGCCCCGCCCTCCAGGCTTCCATTGGCTGTCCGCCACAGCCCCTCAGCGGATGGCGCTGTCGTCCAGGCAACAAGGCCCGCCTTTGCCTGGGTGCGGTGACTCCGCGCAAGGGACAGCAGGCATTTTCCAACCCCGAGCAGACGAGAAAAGGGAGCGTCGGCCTTCCCAGAGAGTGGTAGGACGGGTCCGGCCCTCGTGGCCCCTTCGAGAAGCAGCCCTTGGACACTCGGATTATAAAATTCCGGGTTCAGAGAGGGGCTAAGCTGGCTCCGCCTTGCTGTTTTCAAGAGAAAGCACTGTGTACAGAATAAGCCAGCAAATACGGCAACAGCAAGAAAAATGGATGCGAGGGCTTTGTCCTCACGATCTGGAAGTGCTATTTAGGGGTGGGGAGGATCTGCGCCAGCCTCCTCAGGGACAGCAGACAGCAGGGCTTTGGGGACCGTGGCCGGTGTGGCCGCGACCTTGGCTGTGCCCGGCCGCCCTCCCACTGGGATAGATTCCGCCCCCTTCACGTCTCCAGGTTTCAGGGTCATTTCACAGTCTTGCGTGCGAACAGACCACTTGCCGTCCACAGACTCCTGTGGCCAAGAAGGGGCAACCTGGTGGACAAAGGTCTCCCAGCCATGGCATCTAAGGTCAAAAGATGCTTTATGAAGATGGGGGTTTGTAGATGGAGGGAGGGGGAGAGGTAGGGACGACGGTGGACACGGAGCGGGGTGGACAGGTCATTGCACCTGCCTGGTCACAAGCAACACCGTGGTCAGGGCATCATTTCATATTGTTCGTTGGAGGGAGGGGATTTTCATGAGTTGTCAAATGAAAAGTAAATAAATCCACCTTAAAGAAATCCTTTAAGGCGGTGGTTTTCAGCCGGCATACAGGATCCGTGCCCCGTGCCACACCTGCTGATTTAGGCACCGGCCTCTTTCCCCTCAGATTGTAGCAAAATGACAGCAGCCAACCCAACAATAGCTGCCTGGTGTGGGTCAAAATTACACCTGTTTTTGGGTCAGATCTTCAAAAATATATTTTTGGTGGGCTGCAAAATTTTAGTAATCGGTGTATGAGATGGAAAACATTGACAATCGCTACTTTGAGGTGGTCACACACGTTCTGAACCAGGCGAACTTGGAAAACTCGGAAGTGGGTCAATGTCATTGTCGTGAGCAGCCCACATTGCCCTCTGGTGGCCACAGGAGACATGGCTCGCGGGCTTCCTGGCTCAGGGTTCTGTCTGCAATAGAAGTTGCGGACAAACAGACGTCTCCCCAGGCTTGCTGCTGGACCAACGTGAATTCTGTGGGGGGTCAGTGTTTGGGGGTGCCTTCCAGTAGAAGTCGGGGGGTAGGGCAGAAAAGCCTGGGGGTGGCTGGTTCGCACCACCGGGCCTCAGTCCGCTTGAAGAAAATAGCACGCGAGACCGAAGCATAATCAATATGAAACGATAAACATTTAAGGGGATCAGAAAACTAACCCCACTTTCATTGACATTCAGACATAGTTATGGCAAAAATAAGATCGCCTTCCGTTCTCAGTCACCGTTCACTTAATGTGAGTAACCGCCCCCCCCCTGTCATATCTTTGGGTCTGCAGTTTTCATGGAGGTGTAGTAATTCCTTATTAGATGTCCTGCCTAACTGACCTGCCTCTGGGGGTCCCAGCAGCTGCCCCTCCAACAGCCATGCCTTCTTTATCTCTCAGCTGCCATAAGCTGCAGGCAGCCCCCAAATCGAGAACCATTCCCGGACTTCGGAACGTGGTCCCTTTCTCCTCTTCTCCTCAGGTGCAGGGGACATTCTGTCTCATCGCCTTCTCTTGGTTGGGAGCCCCCCCAGGCCACGGCGCTCCTCAGTCGGGACTTGGAACCAGGAACCCTCAGGCAAGACGTGAAAAACTTCACAATTCTAAACGAGCTACTCACTGCAGCAGAGAACTTGACCTGTCCATCGGAATCCATTGTCACCTGGGATGGCACATCCCAGCCTCCCTTGCGGCCCCAGCGCGCTGTCATTTCTAGGGGAACAGGACAGACACTGATGGGCACCATTGCGGGCCTGGCTGGTACACTCCCCCAGCACGCATGTCTCCGTGCTCTGCCCCCTTGGGCTGATGGAAACAGGGGGAGGTGACATCCTAGGAACGGAGAAGGCACGTGATAGATGAATTCTGGTTCCTGAGTGGCCACCTTAAGGGTGCGTCTCTCCGGCCTGCACACCGGCCCGGCTCTGGGATGAGGGCACAGTGACATGCTACAGAAACCGGCAGAGGGGGTTATCTGGCCATCCAGCTTAACACACCCCGAAAGGCTAGAATCACGGGACCAAGGGACATAGTTATCGATCTGGTCCATTTACAATGACCAAAGTCAGTTTGGCTCCGACAGCTGAGCTGGTCAGCGTTAGGACGGGCCTCCCCAGCCGCTCACACAGCATCTGCACCTGGAGCACCCGCACTGCCCGGCGGGAGAACAGCCAACCAAGTCCCCGCCCTCCGGAGCTCCGGGTCTCGGGGGGAAGTGGACAACTCCACAAAACCAACAGCCTGTGGAAGGAAGGAGCGATGGCTGTGTGGACACAGGGCAGGGGCTCCAAGGAGGCCACTGGCTGAGGCGACCTTTGTAGCTCCAGCAGCATGACCTGGAGGATCCAGCTTGGCACTGACTCAGGTATGTTTAGCCTGGCGGGAGGCCAGCCGTGTGGACGCTCAGGGGCGGAAGGTGTCTGGACACAGAGGAGGCTAGAAAGGAGGTCAGTGAGGCTGAGGGCGTTTGGGAGGAGACGGGAGGGCGGGGCAGGGCCAGGCAGCTGCAGGACAGACATAGCCGCCTGCTGGGTGCGACACCCTTACTCCACGCTCAGTGGCCTAACCGGCAAACACTGGTCATCTCCCGGTCTGAGTGGCAGAGCAGCGGCTCCCGCCAGGACTCTCAGGTCCTCGGGGCTGCGGCCTGTCTGCCGCACTCGGGACCCGGCTCAGCCTGGGTCCGTCTGCTGCTCTGTCTCGGAGCAAGGCCGTGGGGGACTCTGCAGGGGCAGCTCGTCCGTAACCTGGAGCCTCACTCGCGGAGCCAGGCCTGACATGAAGACAGAGACAGAGAGGCAGCGCGGGTCGGAGCGGGCAGGCGGGCAGGGGTGGGTGGTCATCTCGGGAGTGACCTTGGGTCCCTCTGCCATCTTCTGTGCGGTCACTGCTGCAGGCCTTGCCCAGGGCAGGGGGCAATTGGCTGCCCATGAGAACATGTCCACCGGGAGGCGGGGAGCATGGGAGCCATGGAGGGAACAGAGGGAAGGCCCCGAGGGGGTCCCGCCTGCCCAGAATCCCCGTCTGGTCGGGGTACAGAGCCGGGGTGCAGAGCCGGGGAAGGACCCGGCTCTGTGTTCTCCAAGTTGGGACCCTGGCCATGCCCGGGTGTGCCCGGGGGCTCTAGAGAAGGCTGAGCCGCTGTCATTGTCACAGACTCGGAGAGGGCCTGGGGATGGTCAGCCTGCGGCGACCTAGACAGGCATGCAGCCAGCTCTGGTCTGAGGGGGAGCCGGGAGGGGAGGACGCTGGCGTGCCCCCGACCCACAGCCCGGACCCAGGGCTCCGGACCGCTGTGCCGTCGCTGCCCCGAGGCCCCTCAGCAGGCGTTTTCCCAGATGCTGCAGATGGCAGCTCAGCCCTCGTCCCCCACGGCTCTGGCCACTTTCCAGGAGATCCTCTAGGCCAGGGCTGTCAAACTCGCTGTCACCAGGGGCCACATCAGCCTCCCAGTTCCCTTCAAGGGCCAAATGTGATCTTAGGATTGTGTAAATGTAGCTACTCCATAACTAGGGGCAAGGAGCTCAGTGGGTGCCGCCACTGGGTAGAAACAAGGTGCTGGGCTGGATAAGACACGGCAGAGGGCGGATTGGACCCTCCGGCCTTGTGTCTGCCACTTGTGCTCTAAGGAAACACAAGGTGGCCTCAGCGAGCCGGTCCAGGCCAGGCTGCCTCCAGGGGCCCGCCCTGGGCAGCCCCCACATTGGGGGGCAGGGTACAGGCCTCCAGCACTCTCCCCCTTCTGACTAGAGGTGCACAGAGGCAGCCAGGAGACCCCAGCCGGCCATGTGGTCAGAGCAGGCTGCTCTGAGGACCGTTCACCATGGTCCAGGACGAACTGAGTCACCCAGGCTGGACACAGCCCACGGGGGGACCCAGGGTCCCGCATGCCCCGATGCCCCTTGGGAAGACAGGTCAGGCAGCCCGGGTGGGGGGCAGCCCAAGGTCGCCCTGTCCATTGGGCTGGGGATGGCCTGGCCGAACTCAGGAGTCAGAGGGAGGGTCCGATACTCTTGGGGGAGTGGCCCTCACTGCCTGCCCGTCGGTCCTTGAGGGTGAGAGATGCCGCCCGCAGACACCGGTGTTTTTACCAGCAGCACGTCAGCCACTTGTCCTAAGTGCATGGTGAAAATTCCAACAGGGCCGAGAACATGACTCTGCTGGCAGCCGGACACGCGGACGGACGTGCGAGCCGACAAACAGGCGTCAGGTGGCCGCGGGGTGTCCAGCCCTGCGCCGGGCCGCAGGTCATTGAGCCAGTGCAAAAATGGAAAGGGTAAATGTTTGCCCCACGATTATACGCAGAGGACAAGCTCGGCTCGAGGGGCTAACCAGGCTGGGGACGGCCCCGGAGGGCGCAGGCCCAGGAGGGGAGGTTGCAGGCCCGGATGCAGCCCCCCGGCCCCCTCGCCCGTGGCCTCACGCTCCAGCCCATGGTGCCTGGCCAGCCCACCACTCGCCCCAGTCTATACCCCCTGGGGGAGGCGGCACCCTCAAGGTGAGGACATCTCTGACTCAGGCCAGCAGCTGTCATCTGAGAAACACAGAGATTACCCCACCGGGCGACAGGCTTGTTGTAGAGAAACAGGGGCAGCTCAGATTCCCTCCTGAGGCAAAAAACCCGGGGCAGAAATGTGGCCCATCTCCCGGGGCCT